TGAAGTATAATCTTCTTGATATTATTTGTTTCTTTAATTCTGTTAAAACACACATTTTAACTCTGATAATTTCTTATCAAATCTGCAAGGAAAGAGAAAGATAATCAAATAAAACTTTATTTTCAATGTTTGGCAACATTTTCACAGTGTTTGGAATTTTGTACAGGTCCATCTGCAAGGAAACTAAGAATTGGCTTTCTTTCCAATATGGAACCTACCTCTTAAGGACTTACCGCCATGGTGATGCCATTTATTTATAAGGTTTTATGCATTGTCCTCTTTAAGCGATAATTTATGCCCCTTACTTCATATCAGATGTATTAATATAATTTTCCTCAGTCTGTTGAAGGATACATTGTTGTTGCTTTGTCTTCCATTTCCCTTTTCTGAAGAAGTATTGTTTCCCGTGAGTAATGAAGTCTCAACAAAGATTACTTAGAGAGCCAGACAAAGTAAGGGCATGATAGGCTTTGAAAATTTGGAAATGCTCACCTTTTAGTTCTACAACTGAAATCTGTTACATACCTTTCAACTGGTTGGCTTGCCATTGTTCTGTGTGTCTTAAAAGGAATACACTTACTTTGATTATGCCATATATTCTTCAAAGCATCCAGCCACCATCCTTTTACTGCCACGGATGTATAAGCAGCGGCGCTGTTCAGGCTTTGATCATTCTTATCTTTCATTTTTGTTAATTGTTCCATTGTAAACCACTTAGAAATCCCTATGGAACTATTAGTTTAGTATACAAACTTAATAATAAATACATAAACAAAATAACAGATCAATAATTGAAAGAACTGGAAACCATACCTACATAGCTATAGTTTTGAAATTTTGTTACCTCAGTCTTTCCTTCTGGCAGAGGGAAACCAAACTGATCCTTCCTTGTCCTCTGCCTTACTGGCTATAACTGGCTATAACTTCTCACTTGTACCATCCCTGAGAGAACAATGGGCGCATCACAATGGCATTGTCCAGGTTTCATCCTGATCGCCACACCTACTTCAGGGTGGGGGAGACAGACTTAAGCGCCATTCAAAAGCACCTTGGGGAGATGCCATTGCAGACATCTATTAGGACCCTCTTTCTTCAATGTGATCTGATTCACACACAGTGCTAATCCACGACTTCCTGTTCTATCTAGAGTTCCTCTCACAGATGATCAAACAAACCATGACTGGTGTGCCTCCTCCTTTGCCCACTCCCTCCATCTATCCCAAATCCCTGCAGAGTGTGGTAGCACTGGCACATATAGCAGCTAGGCTTTTGAGCTACTCTTGACCATTATGTCCATGGTTCAGTTCACATGTAATGATAACCTGCTGGTCAGTCATGGGTTATTTGTGACTAATGACCCAGACTGTATCTGCACAACATGAAAACCTATCCCATGGGTTACTGTTATGTGTAAACCCAGCCTAAAGCAGTGAGAGGCTGGTGAAATACAGCCCCATACTAGAAACTGCGGAGAAGAGAAGATGAAGAAGGAAAAGCTGAGTGTGAGTCAGAAAAATATCCCCTGCAGCCACAGTTGAGTCTCAGTTCTACTTATATTTATTTTTACTCCATATAAATAATGAAATAGAGACAAAGCAGTGGGTTCGCATATCACAGCTCCCCATCATGACTTGATTATTCCTTCAGGCACCCAGGACGAGCAAGAGATGATTGGGTTTATCCTGACCGTTTTGCACCCTCCCTCCCACTTTGTGTCCCTTGTTCCCCCCAGCACCATCCCAGGGGGCACCATGGGAGGAAGAAGTCGCCTCTCCCCGATAGCTGCAAGCTGATGTTGGCTTGCCATGGCTATTTTTTTTCTTTGTGGGGAAGGTCATGAAGCTAGCTAGAGCGTCAGCTTTCCCAAAGCCCTCAAGTGGCAGGCACAAGCTGCTGCTTTGGAATGACCGGCAGTACCTTAGAAGAACTTACCTGTGCCTGTGCACTATTTTTAAGACACTTTTCTCTATTTTAAATTAGGACACAAAAGTATTACTTTTATAAATTCCACATTGGGCAAACAGTGTCGGCTCATTGTAGCAGAACAGGGATAACTTGGAGCTTCAGTTGGGGCTGGGTGCAAAGAGGTGCGCCCTGTATGGAGATAGCAGGAAGCACCATGCACATTGCCCCAGCTGAAGCTGGAAACCCATTCCTCCCTTGCTTTCAATGGGCGGCTCAGCAAAGGGTCAAGGCATTCTCTTTTGCTAAGAGGGGTGCACTTTTTATAAACAGCACTCCTTTCTTGGCAAGATCCTTCTATCTCCCCCCCCCCCCCACACACACACACACTTGCTTTCCATGGTGGCACAGCTTTGTCCTAAGCCTCTCTGAGCTCAGGGAACTGCAACTGCCCACCCCATCTTTTAAAAGGAAAATCCCGTTTGATAGGTCCCAGACTTGACCTGCCAAACTGCAGTGCCCCTTTAAGGGTTGTCTGAGTTGAATAGGAATCTGAATAGGAACTGGGTGGCTTTGGACTGGGATAGACATCTGAGGGGGATCTGGACTGAGACATACATCCACCACTCCAAAACCTCTTTCAATAGGCACCAAAGTTCGTCAGGTGGTCTGTCCCGTCAAACTGGATTTCCTTTTTAAAAGGTGGGGGAGCACTTTCACCACCACCACCACCACCCCCGAAAGCAAAAGGGGACTCGGTTTCCATTCCTGGCTGAGGCAATGTGCAGAGGGCTGCCCACTGCCCATGTGTAGCATTCTCCCCTGTTCACACCGCTCCCGTGTGATGCACAGAGACCATGATGAAGAACTGCAAGTTGTCCCCTTTGGCTTTGAGCTCTAGCAAACAAGCTGTTTGTAGAATGGTCATTATTTTTTTAAATGCACTATGAGTGCAAAAGTATTACTAGAAGCATAGAGGGTAGGCATGGGTAGTTCCTCAGCTCCCTGAAAGCACCAATACATGCCCGGAACCTTAAGGCGATCGTGTGAACCAGCCCTTTCATGATCTCACGGGGGCGGAGTGAACAGGGAACCATGGTGAGTCCAAAAGGGCTCAGGAACATAGTGGCAAAATGGGGTAGAGTTCACAGGAGGGCTGAGACAAGGAAATAGAAGGGGAATCAACTGGTTTTTAGGGTCACCTTCTGGCATTTGCACTACAAACATGCACCAGGAGTTTCTTCAAAGACAAAGCAGAGTGCAAAGTCTTCCTACAAAGGAACAGTTCTGCCTAGTAAACATATTCCTCCAATCATCCATGATAAGGAAATTGGCAGTGTTGGGAGGCTGGCACTTTAGAATGGCTTAGAGGCACAGTTGCAAGTCTACTTTATAGGAGGGAAAGGACAGATGGTGTTACTCAAAAACAAAACAAAAACCCCAAGTTGATGCCTTGCAAGGATGGGACCAGCAGGTTTCCTTCTTCCTCTCAAGTCAATGTCAGAGGAATGGAAACAGCTGGCTACTATATTCAGTTCCCCAGTTGAGCATTTGAGTATGGTAGGGTGAATGAATCCTGCTCTTGCCTACGATGTCCGGGAAGGTTCCTTTTATTCCTTGTTGAAGGGTGAGGAACTGGGTGCTTATCACCCCTTTCATTTGTCATTGTCAGTGTGGTCTTGCCTGAGAGCCTCATCTGAATGCAGAACCCTCTCCTGAAATGATGTTGCATTCTTTCATGATGGGGAAAACATAATTTAGTGTAAACATTTTGGTTATGTTTTCCTTTTATCTGTATGACATAGAGAGAGAAAACCACCACGTAAGCATTATAAAATAGATTGTGCGACAGGATGTTCAGACATGAATTGTATCTCTTCCAGTGGTAGAGAAGATGCACATTCCGTATTTTGCATGACTGATGAAGTCTTTCTCCAGATGCTTTCACCTCTTAATGTTTTTCATTCATGTTATAAAATGTATCTACTTTATTCTGCTGCTTATCATTGGACCCTTTTCTATCTCTATACCTTGTCCAGAATCTGACTGGGCCTCTTCAGAGAACCAAGGGTACACACCCTAAGAGATTTGGATTTCACTTTGAATATTTGCTATGTAAAAAAACCTAAATAAAAAAACCCTCAAAACTTCAGCTGAGCTTGCCAAACATTTTGGACTAAAATACCTCTTTGGATTCCAATTGCTGTTCAACTTGGCCTGCATTTATGGTTAAAGGGGACTGTGTGTCTTGGTCACCATGAAAACACATCTGAGTAACAAGAACATTTCAGTTTTCCTAAATGGGAAGCCAATCCTTTTCCCTTTCTGGCTCCTTGCAACCCTAGCAGCAACTCCAGGCCCAGTCATATGATCTGTAGAGCCTCATTTAAAACCTTTCCTCCTCCACTTTATCTTGGATATTGAATATGCAGATGCTCTGACTTTACCCTCAAGTTTATTTCCCTCCTCCCCATCCCTTGCCCCTGCCAAGTCATCATGCTCTTATGAGATCATCTGATGGAGATGTAAAACCCTTAAAAGCTTGCAAATTGATCTTTTTTGGCCTAATAAAAGTATTAATATGGACTCTGGAATTTTCTTACAGTCAGCATAGCTACACTTATTTTGTTCCCATTATAACAAATAGTCAAACTCATAGAATATTCAAACATTTTTCCTTTTTAAATCTAGGGAATAGTAAATTTAATCAAGTCAAGTGTACAATGAGGACTGCCTTTCTTCTTCATATATAATATAAAGCAGATGACATTACAGGTTCAGCCAACTCTGAACCAACAGGCTGCATCAGAGAATGTGACTCCAGACTCCAAAAGTTCGGTCTGCCGGAACAGATGTGAAAATGTCATCCACTAGGACGCTGTTGACACAAATTCTGAACCAAAATAAAGCAGAATACCCGAACTGTAAAAATTGTTTTTGAGATTCTTGTTCCAGTTGCTTAGGATTACTTTCTGGTTTCATTTTCACAACCACTTGATGTTGCAGGATGAGGGACATCTGCATACTTACCAAATACTTAATGCAGGAGTTGATGTTGTTTACATTTTAATTGATAATTCATGCATTAAGAACTCCAAAAACTTGAACAGTTGTTTATTGATGTAAATAAATGTGTCTGTTACTTAAGATTATCTACTCCAACATTTCAAACACCAAGTATTAAACATAAAGAGAAGGATCAAAAGCAGGTTTATTTCAGTATTGTATCTTCATTGGCTGAAAAAGAAAAGAATAAAATAATTAAGATCAGCACAACATCATTCATATAACCCTTCAGAACACAAGCCTTCCTACCAAGTCTACATTTGGGGAGCAAAGCTATGACAAGCAGATTGCTGGCAGCTATTTCCGCACTTTTGCCGTTGCTATTCCACTGCTTACAAGATTTACATGAGGTACAGTCTAGATAGCAAAGACATTCCACTATGAAGTTCATGAGGTACTTTGTAGGGCAATATGATGTACTAAATCCCCAAGTTAATTGTTTTTATTTACATAAAAGAGTTAAACTCCTATGCTCATTCAGATCTCTGTCTATTCATTCTTATTTGACAAGTTAACTCATTCGGCTAAAGCAACAGGCCATATCATTTCTGGAGCCATTGCTTCTGTAATTTTACAGACTTTTGCAATTATTTAAGCTGTTCGGAGCCGATCTATAAAATATACATTTCTTCTTGTGATACTATAGCTAGTGAACCAGATTCTTCCCTGTTATTTCCAATGCCCCCTTTCATTAAGGAATTCACTGATTTCTGACCTAGCAGTTCCATTTGGGGATCAGATATTCACTGCTGCATCATATGTCACATGATTGTGCAGGGACCTCTATCTATAAAGGACAGCTAGAAGTATTCGTAAAGATGTCTACTGGGCCCAGTGGGGAGAGCAGCCAGATGAGAGAGTACCAGGGACAGTTTTTCCTGTGTGGGAGCCATTTCATTGGACACACTCTCTAGGGACCTTCAGGATAAGTGTGAAGCCATTTTTCCAGTCTGCTGTGATGGTACTGAGTTTTTTGTGATTTTTTTTTCTTCTGACGTTATGTTGTATTGCTTCCTTAATCTTATTTATTAATGTTTAATTTTGAAGGTTTTTGTATTTGGCTATTGTTTTAATATTTACGTAATTTGATGGTCTGATTATGCAAATTGCTTTCTGACAGGTACAATGAAAGGTAGATTACAAATTAATAATATCTCAGGGTTTTTTTTAGCCTTGAATCTCTTATAAGCATTTGAAAAACAATTCTGGTTTTGAGACTATAACCAGAAGATTACTGAAAAAAATCATTTTGCTGTATAAGGAAGCTTCTCCAAAATGAACTATGGTTCAGCAAGAGAATTCCGCACACTGAAATGCAGACATTTCATGACACTTTTTCTTGTCACGATCCTGCAAAGCACATTGCAGCACCTTCATTTCAGTCCTCCCATGACTAGAACTTTTTAAAATACCACCTGAGCCGTTCCCATCAGATAACTCAAGAGACTGGAGAAACTGGGCTTTAAGAAAGGAACAAAGAATCTTAACATGGTTTGAAAATTAAAAGGGTGAGCAGATTCAGGAAAATACCTTCTGCAATTGCTTTTGCAATTCGCTCCATTTCCTCACGCTTCTTTTTCTCCTCTGCTTCTATTCTCCTTTCTTCTTCAGCAATAGGCTTCAAGTAGTCTATCATAAAGTAAAATAATTAATTTGTATTATCACTGTATATTTGCAAGTGCCTTATAAACTAATTGGTCAAGAGGAGACCAGTTCAAGAGGTCATCTTATATGAATTCTTGCTTCACAAATGCTTGCCTCCAACTCATGGAACCATGGCAACACACTGAGATAGTCCAGTAAGGAAAACAGTAACACTTCAGCAGACTCAGCCTAAATTAGGGTGGATGGCTCTATTCTGTTTTTGAACATTAGTAGCTATGTCAATGCCCTACTAATTTTCTAAGAAAAATATCAGTCACTAATGGCTGAGTCTAATTTATGTGCACAGAGTACAACAAAGGAACAGAAGCTCTAATAAAAACATTTATCTAAAATTACATTTACATATATAGTTAAGTAAAAATGGTGAGCTTACAGCTTGAATTCCTGATGACACATTCCTTGGCATACGCTAGTATAATTTTCCACACATTATATAGCCCTTTTGTTCTGCCTGTCACTAAGCTTTGTAGAAATAAAGACAGGCATAACACTTATGCTTATCAGGAGTACTTTCTCCAATAGCCTTTAAATGACTCTACAGAGATGTATGGGAGAACATGTCAATTAAAAACATACAGAAATATTTTCTTTAGCTACTTACCATATCGTTTCTTTCCATAGATCATCCCAAGTAGCAGTGCTGAGTACCTGCTGAACTGTAAAATACAAATTTGAAAGAGAAAGAACACAATCACACAAACTTTTGCCTTGCAGGTCCCAGACTGCAGGGAATGCAAAATTTAGAAGAGGTCTCATCTCTGAAGTCTCTCTCCCTGCTCACTCTGCCTTTTCATTCGTCCAAATATGAAAGTAAGTCTTTTGTCCTTAAGCTTCCAAGCAGAAGTTACATACAGCTATAGAGCTGTAAGGACCTGGAAAAAGCCCCGGAAAAATTGTGTCAGGGGTGGGGTTCCTGTTCTTCTCTCCAAATAACCTTTTTTGGGGGGTGAAGGAGTTTTGGAAAAACAGAACAACCGTGGATTATAAAATATTTTCCTTTGGAATTTAAGATAAGGCATTTATATGTTGCTACCCAGTCTTTACTCCTCCAAAATGATTTCTGAAAACTATATAAGAACAAGCCTATAGAAAGACTCGTGATGCAAAATGTGTGGAAATACATGGGTACTTTTTAAAAAATTCTCTCTGTAAAGCTCCCAGTAGTTTTTTCTTCAATTTCTTATTACAATTACTGATCTAAAATTATCATTTTTGATAAACATTTGAGGATGCTCAATTTTCCAACATGTGAGTACAGTCAGCATATCATAATATGGAAGAAGACAGTTTGGGGTTTATTCGATAGAGTCCAATGTTTCTGGGCTTCTTTTCATTAGATGCTGTAGCAGTCATTTAGTTTAATTCTAAACCCACATGTGAAAAAAAAAACCCATAGGTTATTTAACCCATGTCACCAAATGCATTAGAAAAGCATATGAATTATCCTACCTTTCTTTTCTATTCTTTCAAGTTAACTTTAAGACTTAGGTCCACAGAACTCACTATCAAAGTTTTTAATAAAGTTCTTAGACTTCACCAGCAGGTAAAACTGCCTGCACTATAAAACCTTTTAACTGCTACTGGAATTATTCCTCTTCCTTTAAAAGATAACTCAGTAGCCTAGCTCCTATGACACAGGTGAGGAATTGACACTACCACCAAAGACCACCTTTCAAAAAAAAAAAAAGATGTTCATTAACAGAAATTATTTACAAAAGTAGAGCAGCACTCTTCAAATAACAGATTGAAATTACTTAAAGCTCCTTACATCAAATATGGTTGCTTACCATTCCTGATTCCCAGCAAAATAAAATCTTGATAGGGAAATATGATCTGAAGGAAAACCTAAGCTCCACCTCACAAACAGGAAGAAGTTTAAGAAATGTCCTTAACCTTTCTTATAAATAGGAACAGATTTTGTACACTAGTCTTTATGTGCTTCCACTTCTTAATTCTTAATTCTTTTGGCCCTTAGGATGCTTCAGACATTTCAAGGTCTACTTACCAATATTTATGTACATTTTTGTCTGCTCATGAAATTATGTACCTGATATATTAAATTTAAAGTATACTTTATTCAGATATTTAGTTTACTTTGAAAAGATTTAAAATATAATTTTATGAGCAAAACAAGTTATAGATAGTATAACTTTAGGACTTAAAAGCCTGCATTGTGTGAGCCCACTATCGGGCCTATGCTGTGGCGGTGAGGGCGGCAAAAAAGAGATTCTTTTCCGCTTCCATTGCCTCCTCACAATGCCGTCCGGCGGAGCTCTTTCGAGTGGTGCAAGGCCTGGTTCGTCCAGGTCCAAAGGAAGACCTGATTCCACCCTCAAAGGCCCGCTGTGACGACTTTGCCAGGCATTTCAGGGAGAAAATCGCTCAGATTCGTCACGAGCTGGACACCACTATTGATTCAGAGGTTTCAAAGGAGACACCAACGCTGCCGTCTGGTCCAGATTTATTGGATGAATTTCAGTTACTGCGGCCCGATGACGTGGACAAGGTGCTTGGGCGAGTACGTCCAACCACTTGCCTTTTGGACCCTTGCCCGTCTTGGTTAATAAATGATTCCAAGCACGGGATTGGAACCTGGATCTTGGAAGTGGTTAACGCTTCTCTGAGGGAGGGTCGGGTGCCTGCCCCTTTAAAGGAGGCGGTAGTCCGACCGGTCCTGAAGAAGGCGTCACTGGATCCAGAGATGGCCACTAATTATAGACCAGTGGCCAACATCCCGTTTCTGGGCAAGGTGTTAGAACGAGTGGTGGCGGGACAACTCCAAGCACTCTTGGATGAAACTGATTATCTGGACCCATTTCAGTCCGGCTTCAGACCCGGGTACGGTACTGAATCTGCCTTGGTCGCCCTGTACGATGACCTGTGCAGGGAGAAGGACAGGGGGAGTGCGTCCCTGTTGGTTCTTCTGGACCTCTCAGCGGCTTTCGATACCATCGACCATGGTATCCTTCTGGACAGGCTTGCGGGATTGGGGGTCGGAGGCACTGCTTTGCAGTGGTTCCGCTCCTATCTCAATGGCCGGTTCCAGAAGGTGGTGCTGGGGGACTATGGCTCTGCGCCATGGCAGCTATGCCATGGAGTACCGCAGGGGTCCATTTTGTCCCCTTTGCTGTTCAACATATACATGAAACCGCTGGGAGAGGTCATCAGGAGGTGTGGGCTGCGGAACCATCAGTACGCTGATGATACCCAGCTCTACCTCTCGTTTTCCACCAATCCAGGTGAGGCAGTGGCTGTGCTGAACCGGTGCCTGGCCGAGGTAGTGGGCTGGATGAGGGCCAATAAACTGAAGCTCAATCCAGACAAGACGGAGGTCCTGTTGGTTGGCGGATCGGGCTTTGGAGAGGGTGAATTGAACTTGTCCTGAACGGGGTTGCACTCCCTCTTAGGGACAAGGTCCACAGCTTGGGAGTGCTCCTCGACCCAGAGCTTTCACTGGAAGCTCAGGTAACAGCAGTGGCGAGGAGCGCTTTCCTCCAGCTTCGGCTAATTCATCAGCTGCTCCCCTATCTGGAGAATGACTGCCTTGCAACAGTGACACATGCGTTGGTGACTTCCCGTCTGGACTTCTGTAACACGCTCTACGTGGGGCTACCCTTGAAGACGGTCCGGATACTTCAATTGGTCCAAAATAGAGCTGCCAGGCTGCTGACGGGGACTGGACGTTATGTTCACATGACTCCAGTTCTCCGTCAGCTTCACTGGCTTCCCATTGAAGTCCGGGCCCAATTCAAGGTGTTGGTAATGACCTATAAAGCCCTAAACGGCTTGGGTCCTGGTTACCTGAAGGAGCGCTTACATCCTTATATGCCCAGCCGCCCCCTGAGATCGGCGGGAGAGGCCCTTCTCTGGGAGCCCTTCATGGAAGAAGTTAGGAGGGTGGTTACTCAGAGGAGGGCTTTCTCAGCGGTTGTGCCTAAGTTATGGAATGCGCTCCCCAGAGAGGTCCGCCTGGCGCCGTCGTTATTTGTTTTTCGGCGCCAGGCGAAGACCTTTTTATTTAAGCAGTATTTTAAATGTTAATATTATTGAATTTTATTTGGTCAGGGCGGCTTGTTTTATAGTGTATGTTTTATATTATATATTTGTATTTTATTGTATATATTTTAAAATGTTATTTTAATTTTTTGTTGTAAGCCGCCCCGAGGCTTCGGCGAATGGGGGCGGCATAAAAATGTTTTAATAAATAAATAAATAAAATAAAAAATACTGCAAGATGGAAAAAGATTTTTTCTGCCTACTGGATTATCCAATATCAGTGAGTAGTCAAGGATAAGAGTGTTGGTGTAATCAACTTAAACCTATTTTAGTATACTGAACACAAATCTAAAAGGTGTTTCCACATATTTATCTGCAGTTTTTTAAATCATGCATTTAAGTTTTTTAAACACCTGAAGCACTCCCTCAGTATTTTTAAATTAGATGTAATATACTTACAATATTGGCTTTCAGGCACCAGTTAAAGGCAGTTTTCTTCCAGAACTGAGTCCTCTAACTTTTTTTATGATTAATGATGCTATTTAGTATTTGTAGGACTAACAAACAATTTTGGCATGTTTTCACAGACATAAAGTGGATTGTTTTCAGTTTGTTTTGTTAACCATGTTTGATACATTTGGCAAAGTGACACTCAAGAGTCATGTTAATAAGAAAATAAGGATGCAATCTATGCATGTTTAGCTGGGGGGAAAAGAGCAATCAAACAGGCCCTTGACAGCACTGCAAGGGGGCAAAGCGTATTTCCGATTCCTAGCTCTGGGGTCCAAAACAGCACTCTGAGCCTAGACAATCAACCCTCCGTGCCTTCCCTTAGAACAGGTGCAACCTCGGAGAACGGTAAAAGGGCCATTTTGGTGAGCAGAGAGAAGGTGAGTCCGGAGACATCTCCTGCAGCCACTCCAAGCTTACTTCCGTCCTACTCTGGGATGCTCCAGTAGGCCAAGTAAAAGCACAAGGCAAGGAGACGGGGAAGCGAAGACCACCTCTGCAGCTTCTCCCGACCTGTACTGGATTACTGTAAGTTTGCGGATTTAAGGGCATCGCTGCAGGAATGCGCCCTTAATCCTGCACCTTCCAGCATCTCCGAGGGATACATCAGGATTTTGAGACTTATTTCTCCATTATTATTATTATTATTATTATTATTACATTTCTATAGCGCCCGCAGCCGAAGCTCTCTGGGCTCCAGACCACCCACGGGACGAACCAGGACCGCCGGCAGAGCGAAGCTGCGCCCGGCCGCTCTCCTTGACCTCCTCCGCGGTCACCTTCCGGCAAAAGGAGGGCACCCGCCCGTCGCTGGCTCAGGCGACCCACGCACCGCCACGGGCTGAAGGACGCCCAAGAGGGCGCGCCCAGGCGCCGAGGGAGGCCAGCAACCCGCCGCCGTTACCTTAATCAGGGGAGAAACCTCCACCGGCGGAATCATTTCGCCTTCTCCACAGCACGAAACCGGACGTGACACACAACACGCTGCGCCGCTCTGGGGGCGGCCTTGCGTGACGTCAGGCGGCGCCTGTCTGAGATTTGAGTGCATCTGCACCTCAAAGGGAGGGCAGGAGTGGTGCAGAGATAGAAATAGAGAGTGGGTAGCAGTGCATTCCTTCCGGCTTAAAATTAAACTTGCAACTCTCGCAAGTTGCCCGTTTTCAGAGTAGTTATGGACGGCAGTGAGGCCGTTCTGCGCCCATACAGAATTATGGGCAATGGCTGTTTTCAGTTTTTATTGGAAAGAGAGAAATAAAAATCTAAGTATGATTACTTTCTGTCATATATTTATCTGTCCGTAAGTCCCATTTTGCTCACAATAAACACGTGTAAAATTCCAGTGATATTCTACATTTCTATCTCTAGGGAAGGAGGAGGCGGGAATGACGGGAGGTACACCGATATGCGCATGTGCGGGTCGAGGAGCGGCGGCTTGGCCTTGTGCGACGTCGGCAGGGCTGGTGCGGGCACGTGAGCCCGCTGGAGGGGCGAAGAGCGAGCAGCTCCCCGTCCCGCCCCTTGTTCTTGTGAGTCTGGAAGAGGGCCAGTTCTTCGTTTCTTGCACCAGTCATAGTGATACGAAGCTCATTCATGCATTCAAAACCTTATCACCCGCAGCAGTATTAATATTCCTTTGAAGCGGAACCTTCTATGGAAGCGTTTTGGGGTTTACATCTGAAGCGAAAATTGTGCGTTCTCACGATGGGGGTGTTGAACCTGTTGCAAGCCGGCCAATAATGTCTTCCAGGATACCTTATTCCCTACATACTGCTTTGAGCTGTGATAACAGCCTGTGCTTGCTTCTAAGCTTCCCCCGCTAAATAATCTTGTTTTGTTTTTTTCTTTTCTAAATCTTGGAGGGGCAGGCCTGAGCTCACTGCTGCCTCGTTTGTCAGTGGCCCCCATTTTGCCTACAAATCTGTTCAGTCTTCACCTAGAATTGGAGGGAGTTACATGATGTAATACAAGCTGATGGATATTTTCTTTATTCATTTGTCCCCATGAGAAAATTCCTGTTTTTCTTCGTGATTCATAGTTGTTTGTCACTTAAGTCATCACATTAGTTTCTAATTTAGAACTCCCTTAAAAATGGATTTTGGTCTTTGTGGATCTCTTCCATTTTGTGGCAAATTTTGACTATTTCTAAAACTACTGTTGCATATTTTTGTTGCAAGGCATTTCAACCTTCAAAATGTTACCCTATTGCTCATATTTCCTTTGTTCCAAGGATGGTAAAAAAAGACCAGTTCACATTTATTTATTTATTATTTTTAGGTACCATACCAGAATGGTATTAAAAAACAGCATTAAAATAGATGTTCATAATTACATCATATAATGATTACAACAATAAAAACAAAATAAGCATAATTACAGAGGGCCATTTTAAATCTCTAAAAGCCTCTAAAAATCTCTTGGCTGCCAGCCTACCCACCTCTTGTCCTCATATTAGCAGTCACACATCACAACTGCTTGACAACAATAAGATTAAATATAAATAAATTCAAACCATTAAATTCCTAAATACTACAAAAATTATTCAACTCAAAAATTCTTGAAAATAAAATACATAAATCATAAAAGTAGCTATTCCACACCATGCTGTAGAGTCTAAAGTATAAACGTAAAGCATTCTGACCATTAAAACATTGAGAAAATGAAAAGGTCTTGGCCTGGCACTGGAAAGTATAGCATGTCGGCGCCAGGCAGACCTCTGAGGAGCTGGTTCCATAACTCGAGTGCCACGGCAAAGAGAGCCCTCTGCCTGGTAGCCACCCTGCAAGCCATCCCAGAGGGATGGCTCCCAAAGGAAGACCTCCACTGTTGACCTTAGGGCTAGGGAAGATATATATGGGAAAAGGTGTTCCATCAGATGTGCAGGCCCTAAGCCATGTAGGGCTTTATATACCAACATAAGCACCTTAAAGCGGGCCCAGAACTCAGCCAGAAGCCAACCCTGTCCTTTAGAGGGTTGTGACCCCTGTCAAGGATAGGTGCAGGTATCCTCCATCTGGACTAAGGGCTCACCTACCAATAGGACATCCATCTTGTCTGGATTAAGTGTCATTTATTCACCCTGATCCACTCCATCATCCCACTCAGACACTGGTTCAATACTGTCACCACCTCACCTGGGTTAGGTGACAACAAGAGGTAGAGCTGAGTGTCATCAGCATACTGGTGACACTTCAGCCCAAACCTCCAGATGACCTCTCCCAGTACCACTTTCTGGAAATGGCTGGCCACGTAGGAGTTAACCAGTGCCCAGCAGTGCCCCCAACCCCCAGCTCGGCCAGCCTGTCCAGAAAGATACCTCGGTTGACAGTATTGAAAGCCGCCAAAAGGTCCAGGAGAATGAGCAGGGATGCACTCCCCCTGTCCTCTCAGCAAAGATAATCCCACTGGGTGACTGAGGCAGTTGCATTACCAAAACCAGCCGTGACACTGGCCTGCAATTGATCTAGATGGTTGCGTTTCCTCCAGAAGTGTCTGAAGCTGCTCCACCATCACCCACTCAAGCACCTTTCAGTTGTGTGACTTTCTTCTGGCCTTTTGTTTTCAAATTGGACATTTTATTTTTAAAACCTTCTTGCTCTTTAGAATGAACATTTAATTTTACTTTCATAATAATTGTTTTCAGTCTTTGGTGACTCTTATGCTTAATTTTTAACCCAGTATTTTGTTTTGCCCATAACTGCATCTGTACACACAAATCTCCCACCCAGACACACCCCAAGCTGGGATTTTATACTTCTGTGTTGCTGGAATTCTATTTCGTTAAGTCAAGGAATGTCAGAATCAGGTTCCTTTTACACAAATTTTACAGTTATCATGTTCTTGTGAGGGTACTTTTTGTTAGCTTTTAGATGAAAGGCTCCTAGGACTTCCAATCAGATGGCACTTTGTGGCAGTTCTGACTTTTCCCCCTTAACAGATTTTCTGCAGTACAAAACAAAGGCAGAATAAGGCAGCATGATTAAAGCTTTTGGAAACATCCTCAGTTTAGATATCAAGTAGGTATTAGAGGAGGAAACTAGTAAGAGAGAAGGAGGAAAATGCACTGTTGAAATACTTTTTAATGAAATATTCTGGTGAAATATTGACCAAGTTGTAAAGATGTACAATGGATTACATGTAGCCACGTGGTAAGCCAGTCTTCCCCACTGTCCTGCCAAGTGGTAAGAAGAAATGGTAGCGCACTTGAACCCTTGGGTAAAAATCTGGGGAAGCAAACAAAAGAATATAAGGGGGTCCTTCAGATCCACATGAGCTGGCATTCATCTCACTCAGCGGATGCAATGTTTCCCTTTAGTCTGACCAGTGATTTGAAAAATGCAGAAAACTGCTATTTTTATTTATTTACATACATACATACATATATCTATAATGGTGACCAGAATGATCGCTTTTCTCTTTTGTACTTCTGAAGAACCAGCACCAGGCCTGGAGTCCCTCAGGGCAGGTTTATTGTCATGCTCTATCACATCTCTACTGAATCTGGATGTTACGGTGCAGGGTACCCTTTAATAGCTGGTTGTGGGTTGTTATTTAAGTTCTTCCATAATCACTGATCTAATGCTTCTCCTAAATGGACTTCTCTTGTGAAACCTTGTTAAATTTGTGTGACTCCAGCTGTATTGGAAGAGTCAATAGAGTTAGCATGCTGGACCAGGGCTGGGGAAACAGTTCAAACCGACTATGGAATGTGCTTCCCAGAGAGGTCTGCCTGGTGCTGTCATTATATGTTTTTCAACGCCAGTCTAAGACCTTTTTATGTAATCAATATTTTAATAAGTTTTAATATCGAATTTTATTATTGTATTTTATTAATTGCAGCCAGAGTGGGTCGTCAATTTATTTATGCTGTTAGCCATCCAGAGATGTAAGCTGCCTTGAGCCCTTTGTAGGAAAAAGGCAGGATATAAATCAAAAAATAAATAAAATAAATAAATAATTGGACGGCATACAAATTTTATAAACAAACAAACAAACCTGCTCTTTCAGGAAGGTCACTGGGTAATCTTGGTCTGGTCACTTTCCCTCAGCTTAACTTACCTCACAGGGTTGTTGAAGGAATTAATGGGGCAAAGGAGACGCATGTACGCCATGACAAGTTTCTCAAAGCTTCTTCAGATACAATCAATATTTATTTTTCCGCAGAGAAAGCTCTGCAGTGGCACCCCAACTATGGAATGCACTCCCTAGAGAGGTCCACCTGGCACTGTCATTACATGCTTTTCGGCTCCAGGTCAAGCCCTTTTTATTTGACCAATATTTTAACATAAAGTAAATTCAATTGTACTAGATTTATTTATTTTAATTTTATGCTCAGTTGTGGAATAGTTAATGTGTTTTATTTAGGATTTGAAATAATGTTGTAAGCCATCCAGAGACAACAGTGATGGACAGCCTACAAATTTTCTAAATAAATAAATCCTGTAGAGATATAGTGAAATCATATAGAGATTAGTATTTATAAATCATATAGACATTTTGAGAATCCTGTGTGACCATGAAACTATTTTGGAATGGAATTGTAGGGAAAGGCTGGAGTTGCATTGATCACAGAGAAGCTGTGTTTCATGGACCATGAAAAAAGGTTTCAGAGGAGAGATCTGAGGTTCCGTGACAGAGAATACAAAGAGCGTGCTGTTTCAATGCACAGCAAGCCTTGTTTGTTCACTTATGAGTGAGGGCTTTTCTCAGAATAGCACATGGCAATTGCATATGCTTGGTGTCCTTTTTGAAAGCTGCAGCCAATAAGACAAGCATACTGTTTGGTAACTGATTTGTTGAGTAACTTGCAAAGTTAAAAGCTTCACAGAAACCTTCAGCACAAACCTTCAGCATAATGTCAACTATGTCTAAGAGAAAGTACAGGGATATTTCCTGAAGACATAAATGGGAACGCATGAGCCATCTAACTTGAATGCCCTATTTTAGGAGAGGATCCACTTATGACTCCATTCTGGAGAAGTTAATTTATGCTTAACTCCCAATAGAATAATAGCTCAGGAATCTGATAATAAAATTAAACAGCTGCTATAAGTAGTTGGCAGGATTCATAACTTTAAAACTTCTTGGCTGTATAGAAATTGTTAAAGTGATTAATTGTTATAATAATCTGTGTTATAAACCTTTCAGAAAGCTTAATCTTGTGACAATCCTACTAGGAACAATAGATAGTTGTAAATTATAACAATTATTCACCCCTATAGCTTTAAAAGTATTCAGGAACTATATAATGCAGGCATGTTAAGAGTTGTTTGAAATATTTCCTAAATTGGATCCTGAAGAGTAAGGGAATAGCAGATGCTAAAGATACACATGCAGCTTACCAAAGCCCAGAGAGAATATCATAAGACAGTATAATTAGTGAATATTATTAGCATGAGCAGCTGCAAGAAAGAGATATGAACGGCAAGAAGCAACTGCACAAGAATGTTAAAAGGGCAGAGTTAATGAATATTTCTAACATGGCACAGAACTTTAATTATCTGGTTTATGGTGCGACCCTGCTACTTTTGGAGTTAATGGATCATAGAAGCTATTATTAGATCATCAGATTCACCTTTTCTTTCTTAGTTTTTACAATGGGATACATTATTAACATCTGTAACTGACAATACTGTATTATGATTCCAAGTGTTCTAGCATAGATCTTACAAATCATGGTACAATATAATGTGTAAATCGTGCCTCAAAATCTGTAAACAGCTCCACAGATCTTTGTTGCCTACATAATATTGAATCCATGAGAAATGTCATATTTTCATTGTCTAGTATGTTTTTGATATGGCTGCTAAGTTTAGGAATCGTAAAATTTCTTGCATTGAATGATTCTAAATATGGGCAAAATCCTGTGAGAGTAAGACACTTTCAGTTCCATTGACCTCACTGGGAGAGAAATAAACATACACTTAATTTTCCTCTTGAAATCAGCAGAGTTTAACTTTGGCTGGTTGGTACTATAGCTTGTTACAGGAATTCTGTAAAGTCTATAAATATTACCATTCTTTTCTAAGAATTGTAATATTATAGAGAAAGGTTTGAGCAGTGCTTCCGTGCAGAGATATTCCTAACTGTCTCAGATTCATGTTTAATCCAAAGCAGTGCTCAGAAAAACAGATTGAGTTTTATTAAGTTCATTCAGGCCAGCCCCTTACTTAGTGCTCGAGCAGACAATTTTTCCTACAAAAGGAATTTCATGGTTTTGGGCTCAGATAGTCGCTCATTTTGGCAGTTGGGGAATCTGGGCACTGTAATAGCAAACAATTGGCTATATGTATAGCTGTTTGGGCTGGTGGTGGTGGAGACAAATTGAGGAGGAAAAGCATCCCCCATTGGATGTGTTACATTTTAGGCCACATTACTGTGCCAAATTATTTGATACCTCAGTTTAGCTTTGCAGGACACAGCATTTGCAATTAGTCATGAATTCTCCAGGAGCCCATTCCAGTTCTCATTTATGGGATGGAGCCAGGATCTGCTTTCTGTTCACGGAAGGGCTTCCCTGGTGGGAGGAGCTTCTGCACAATTTTCAGAGATCCAATCCTTCTGCTTCTCAGCATGCAGCTCACTCTATTCGGCAAGGTCCCTCTATCCTTTGCCCTGGTTCCATTGACATGACAGCCCAGCATCGTTTAACCCGCCTGGTGCAGCAGCCCTTGCCATTATGAATATGCAAGTCTTAGCCAGGGGCAGCCATGGCTTGCTGTGTCATCTGAACAAGGGCACTGGGGGTTTTTGAGGATCATGGGCTATGCAAGGGTTGTTACCCTCAAGTAACCTCCACTGCTTGTATTTGAACTATATGAAAATCTCTAGCCCGGGCGTGTGTATTCATAATGGCCCTTGGCACGCATTGCAGCTCGTGGGTAAATTAGCCCACATGGGGCCGTCATGTTGTGTGAACTAGTCCTCTGTGCACCATTTTATGGGGATGCTGTGGGAATGAGGGTGGGGAGTCTGCCCACACCAACCCAGTTACATGTGCCTAAATGAGAAGCCCAGAGGGAATTCACCCACGGTGGCTTCTGTTCTATACACTAATTAGTGTGTATAGAACTGTAACGTGCAATTTAACTGATGTTAGCCTAGAAGGTTATGATCTGATCTGATGCATGATTTATGTATTTTACACCCAAGCAGTTGCTTTATAATGTCTTCATTACAGTTCTTACAGTGTGATTCATAGATGGCTGTGTTCAAGTGCTACACACAAATTGATATCAGACCTTACAGCCGTATATACTTTAGCTTGTTGTGATTAAAGCAAATGCTATAGTAGATGATTTCAAGGATCAGTAACAGTTCAGCCACTAGGGAACGTAAGGTATCTTGTAGTTCTGACCATGTATGGAGTAGGTCTTGTGAGCTCAGGGTTCTTAAGACGTTTGAGATCTCCTTTGGGAAATGCCAGCTGTAAAGACAAAATCTTCCCTCTCGTATAAGAAGCACTTAGTGCAGAGACTTTCCCAGAGAAAGACAAGTGGAGTACCTTTCCAAGAAAGATGGTGAGTTCAGCTCGAGGTGGTTGTCATTTCTTGCTTGAGGACATGTTGAAGTTACCTGTGATAAAAATGAATTCCCTTCTAATGGTGCGACCTTGAGCATGTGCATTCAGAAGTAGGTCCCACCGGATCCAGTGGAGCTCCTGTGAGCTAAGTAGATGCAGGACTGCAGTCCTGCCGTATGCTTTAATTGGGAAGAAGGCCTGCATGCTGTTCGGGAGCTGTCACATTTACTACTGAATGTAGAGTGCAGGAAGCTGCATGGGCTGCCACTGAATGTGCATCATCCATCTTGCAGGCCAGCAGAAAAACCAAGAAGAAGGAAGGTGGTGCCAAGCGTGCTCAGAGGGCCTCCTCTAATGTTTTCTCCAACTTTGAACAGACCCAGATCCAAGAATTTAAGGAAGTAAGGCTGTCTGCCTCAAATAGATTGTGTGAAGGTCTTAAATTATAACTTGGGTGTGTTTTTTGTTGTCTGTAAGCCTGGCCTCATTTTATTTCCATGTCAGTGCCTTTTAAATGGAACTTTAGAAAGGGTGGCTGTTTATTGCAAAAATGTGTTGGTTGTAACCCCCTCGAAAATAGAGAGCTTCTCACAGTTTTATGTCTCAGTTGATGCCTGATGTCATATTCAGCAGTTCTTAGTTTGTAGGTGAATTTGGACTCAATGGGTCTTAAGACTACAGAAGGATGACTGGATGATGCCCATTATATCTTTGCACCTTGGTAAATCTGGATCTCTGAAAAATCCCCGAAGAGAAGCAAGCTAGTGTTCCAGTGGTGGGCCGTGTTTCAACCTAAAGTGATTTATGCTAGTGGTGTCACAATGTTCTTTGGATGGTTGGTCGCCTTTTTTTAGCAGTACAGTCCTTTGCATACTCAGAAGTCCCACTGTGATCAGTGGGTTACTCCCAGGAAGCCAGGGAGATGGACCAGGTAAAGACAGAGTGGGAGAAAGATGGAAATGTATTAATGGCAAAAGTGGGTCAGATGTTGCAACTTGGAGTCAAAGGTGTTTCCTAGATTTATTGTCTATGTGCGAGGCAGCCTTATCTCCCCCTAGTCAAAAGGAAGAGAAAAAACAACATTAAAGGTTACTGGTTATAGAATTTACCTTTGTTCAAATGTCACATGCTGTTGGTTTTTAAGTTGCTCTTAACATCACAATGCAAAATAACAAGAATAATATTTTAATTATGTGTTAAATGATGAGAAAACTATGTTGCAAAGGCATTCTAACCTGTGGACTACCTGAGATGTATGCAAACCTAAGATGGAAAGGACTGTTTTTAGGAGGCACATAAGCTAAGCCTTTGCTCCGCTCCAGAAACAAGCTCAACACCTGCATGTCCTTTGGGAGAGACAAATGTTCCATTTAAAAGTTTACATGCAGCTTAGCACGTGGCTGTGCAAATCCTTTTCTTCTACAAATCATTTGGGAAGAAAATCGGATTGCAGGATTCCGTGGCAGAAACTTACTAGTCCCTGATTTTTCTTTTCATGTTAGAGGAAAAAGAGGGCTCAGCCATCTAGTTGTTTGCCTAAATGAAGCACATTAAGATGTGTAGGTAATGACTTCAGCCTACTGGCAGTGCACATTAGTATCAATTTTATATCCCCTTAATGATAACAACATTCTTCACAATGTATTTTGGGAACTGCATGTCACTGCACCGTTACAAATTCTGGGTTAGATTCAGTAATTCCTAGTCCTTTCATTTCCTCGAAAGGGGGAATGTCTGTTTAACCAATTTTAGTTCATAGTTTGGATATGCCCCTTTGCTGCTTGTCCATGTAACAAAGCTAAGGGTATATCTGTCCTGCAAATGAGCTGATTTAATAATCATCCTCACCCCATAGAACATTTTGGAACTACATTTGCAGTGGGATCCCGAGCAGCTAGGAATTTGACCAAATTAACAGTATCCTCACAAAGCTACAATTCCCACAGTGCTTTGGGGAACGCCATGCCACTTAAATGAATAAACAACCAGACAATTTTATTAAGCACTAAATGTGAGTTGGCAATTCTGAGCTTCTACGTAGTTTAAGATCACATATTCACTCTTCAAAATACTGAAGTGCAGAAAGATCTTACAGTGAAATGAATAGGGTTTAGATGCAAATAAATGTGGTTGGGATATAAATATTCTTGTGATTAGCAGGATCTGTCTCATTTGCCTATAATGTACTACTTTATAGGCATTCACACTGATTGATCAGAACAGAGATGGCTTCATTGATAAAGAAGACTTAAAAGATACCTATGCATCTTTAGGTAAGTATTGTGAAATTATATCATATCTCATATTTTAAACCTAGTTAGTTATTTTCTAAGATTTTACTCTGCCTTTCAAGATAGAAATCATTCCAAGATGGCTTACAAAATGTTTTTTTTTTTTTTAATTTTAAAAATCACACTAAAGGCCACAATCTTTTTACCCCCCTGCCCTTGAAGTGCAGAAACCTCTAAACTCTTACATGCATGAGAAATGGCAGCAATATACATCTGGCTATTTAGATAAAAGTGCTGCCGGGAGAGGAAGCCTGGGGAACCAAAGGAATCATTGTAAGCCTTCAGTCCCAGCCCTCTTCCCTTCCTGCCCTCCAGCATACCTCCAAGGGACATTTGAAACCTCTGCACCAGTCGCAGAGGGTCATATTAGGGGCTTCGCCTTTGGAGTCCCTGAAGGATCTTGGCGTGGGGACTCTGAACAATCCTATGGCCCCACAGACAACACTGGGAAGCCAAAGGATTGTGCCCAAACTGTATCAACATTCAACACATCATCAAGATCTTTTCCACAGAACAGGTGCTGGTAGATACGTTTTTCCTCTGAATGTAATTTATATTGTTTCATTATGTATTGTCTGCCAGTTCATTTCCTAGTATCCTATTAATTTAATGAGCAGGCAAGATTGGTGTCTGAAGTTCAAATTCAGTTCCTCCCCCTGCTTGATGTCAATGGTTTGCACTCCCTACATTCTTCTACATTGCATAAAATTTCAAAGAAAGTGAGAAATAAGTGGGAAAGTTTTGAATAATATGTAATTATTTTTTTGCTAGCACTTGGAAGTAAAGGTTAGAGGTAAGGTCTGTCTACTGCCAGGTATACTGTAGATCTGTAAATTGCTATCTGCTTGTACTGAGAATGTGATGAATAATTAATTTTCCATTTGATTTTTAGGTAAAACAAATGTGAAAGATGATGAATTAGAATCAATGCTTAAAGAAGCCACTGGACCTATTAATTTTACAATGTTTCTGAATCTATTTGGGGAGAAGTTAAGTGGTAAGTTTAAAAGTAACTTGTAAAACTGAGCTTTCCAGAAATCTAGCGTGAGGTTCTCTGCTTCTCTCAGCCCTGTTTGTAGAGAGCTGATCGACGCCATTGCAGATGAGTTGTTTCTGCTGTGGCAGTATAAATTATACTGCACAGAAATTAAAACCACAGTAAAAGGGCAAAGTTGAGAGTAGGCTTGAAGATTGTCATTGTGATTGCTGATGTTAACTGATCTAATCCACATATCCTGGCCTGATAAGCAGAAAGAGAACGATCTATCCATCCATAGCTGAAGGTAGCCAGATTGATCACATCAGATGTTGTTGTCATCTTCTTGGGGCTTTCCTGGTAACATTATGGTAATCTGGAAACAAACCCAGCTTTTGTGATCTGAAGCACTCCTACTTGTAGTAAATCCCACTGACATCTGGGTAAATGTGCTATAGACTTATTTCAAAATCATAAGTATTTTAAACTGTTTAAGTGAAAAAATCTGAATACTGAGACACTGTAAAGGTCCTCCGGGAGCCCTCAGTGAAGGAAATTAGGAGGGTGGTTACTCGGAGGAGGGCTTTCTCAGCGGTGGCGCCTAAGTTATGGAATGCGCTCCCCAGAGAGGTCCGCCTGGCGCCGTCGTTGTTTTTCGGCGCCAGGCGAAGACCTTTTTATTTAAGCAGCATTTTAAATGTTAATATCATTGAATTTTATTTGGCCAGGGCGGCTTATTTTATTCCAATGTATATATTTTAATTGTTATGGTTTTAATTTATTGTGTATTTTATTATGTTGTGAGCTGCCCCGAGGCTACGGCAAGGGGCGGCATAGAAATGTTTTAATTAATGAATAGATAGATAGATAGATAGATAGATAGAGGCAAATAGATTTATTTGTGCCCAGTGCAGTGCTTAGAGTGTTAGACAAGGGACCTGGGAGATCCAAATTCTAGTCATGAAGCTCACTAGGTAGCTCTGGGCCAGTCACTCCCTCTAAGCCTAATCCACCTTACAGGATTTTTGCGTGGAAAAAATGGGTGTGGGAGGAAAGCTGCCTTCCTTGCTGGAGGCAGAAAGTGGGGCTATAAATGCAAAATAACCATCGTCATCTTTTGGGAAGATGCATTTGATGAAGTGGGTGGTGGTCCATAAAGTGTATGCTGTGATGAACCCGGGGAGGTCTCATCCTCTCAAGTCCATACTGCTCAGAAGCTCCATCCAAGAGCCTCTGCAACCGAGTGCTGACAACCAGAGCAATCGTTGCAAGTGCTGACAGGGCATCTCGAATGTCTGATTTCAATTATGGTTCCCTATCTCACAAGTAACATTACCAACCTAGCTTCTGTTGCATCCCATTATTTTCTGTAGGCACAGACACAGAAGAAACTATACTAAATGCATTCAAAATGTTTGACCCAGAAGGAAAAGGAAACATTAACAAGGATTAGTAAGTATTAACCACCGCAACAGAAACTGTTGACAGTGGCTGCTGAAGCCACAGACCTGGCAGCAGATCTTTGGCCAGGCAGACCTTGGTCTTTAAATGTGAGTTTTCCCCAATCACATGTAGAACAGTTTGCAATTTAAACTGCAAGGCAGACTACAGGCAAGAGATCACAACCCTTTCACCTGCTCACCCCTTCCCACCGCAGTCCATTGTCCAGTCACTCTGTGCCCAGGAAAGCTTTGATGCAGGAGGCGAGCCACTTGGGACCAAAGGGGCTGGAAAGGTTCAGCGTTCACCATCTCTTTGCTATTTGGAGTTCCTTCCCATGTCTCAATGGTAAAACCTCTGACCTGCACCAAACAGCTATTTGTTCCCATGCCAGCACTGCCCCTCTACCTACCCACACAAATTAAAGTCCCTGGAGAAGCAGCATTGGTGCATGTCACATATGCTGAAGAAACTCTGTAGTGTTGCCTATGCTGCAAGTGGTAATCCCTATAAGCAGAGGACACGGCCAAGCACTGAAGTTATTTTTATACAAAATGCTCTGGGGCTTTACACTCTCATGCTTGTATTGATTGGACTGTTACAAAATCTGATGCCAAGTCTTTTTTCTTTGCCTTTTTGCTACAGCATGAAACGTTTAATGATGTCACAAGGCGACAAATTTAACACTGAAGAGGTTTGTATTCTTTATTCTCCAAAGTCCCTAATCCTCTTAACCCACAACCCCTGTAAGACATTCCAGATCACGAGAACATATGGAGCTCCCTTATATTGAACCAGATCATCGGACCGTCTACCCTGTTATTGAGTTCCACCAGCAACAGCTTTTCAAGGCTTCAAGCAGAGGTCTTCCTCCACTATTGCCTGAGATTCATTTACCAGAAGATGCCAGGCAGTGAATCTGGGATTGTCTGGGTGCAAAGCACATGCTTTATCACTGACTTACGCTCTTCTTTGATACCGGGGGACAGGTCCACCTACCATTTAATGTGTAATCTAATACAAAGAAAATGTGCATGGCCTGTTATGGACTTAAATTTTTTGTAAATAATCAAATAGGCACTTAGTAGCTACACTAAATTTTTGGCACTTGCAGAAACAAATTCTTTGAAAGTGGGAATTCATGGGAAGGTATCCTACCATTATTTCTATTCAAACTGCTTTACTTCTGGAAAGGTCTACAGATCATAATTAAATACCTTCAAGAAAAATGCAGAAGGGGATCTAGTGTTGGCATTTTTGGTTTTGCCTTCCTTCTTGAGCAAAAGAAATGTTGATTATATTTGTGCTTTGAGCTAGACTCATCCTTGGTTCTTATTAAATAAGCTGCAAAGTGATTGCCAAGTTTGAAGACCACAGAAACACAGTGCAAAACCTTCTGCCCTGTCCTGCCCAGCTTTATTTTCTGAACTTTTCCATTAAACATGTTTTTTTCCTTCTGATGTACAGATAGATCAGATGTTCCAGTGTTCTCCAATTGACTCAGCAGGAAACCTGGATTACAAGGCTCTCTGCTATACCATCACACATGGTGATGAAAAAGAATGAACACCACAGACGTTTGGAAACTGCATCAACATCTCTCTGTGCAATAAGAATAAAACAAATGATTACTTGCTTTCTCCATCATTGTAGACAATGTGTATTTTATTTTGACTGCAGGAAACTAGTATAAACAAAGTTACTGGGAATAAGGGATCATTACATTTAAAGAAAATACATTTTGAATGTTTAATGACTGAAACATGTCAAGCAAGAAACAGGTATGTCACACCTCCAGAAATATCTAGGTTTGCTGGATGGATCACCCTATTGCTTTTCAAGGATGCTTTGAAACAGCCACTGCATGGAGAGATGGAATATTTTCTTGGGTAACAGGCACATTCCATCAGTGTGCATTATGCAACCCATAATGCCCCTTTCTGAATGAGCCTCCAAAGAGATTAGTATGGTTGGAATAGCAGTGGAGATCTGCACTAGATGGTACTTTTATATGAGGTACTATTTTTTCCACCGTAAGCAATCCACTTGGCAATAGCACCATTTGAAACAATTCAATTGTATCAGTACCATTTAATGCCAAAGACCTGAAAAACATTGCTTGCATATAGAACTCTTCATTCTTAAACAAGCAAAGAATTTTCCTACAGCGTCACCTTAATTGCCGTCAAAAGAGTGGTCTTGTGCATTAGAGCTCAGGTCCCAGCTTTGCCTTCTATAAGTTACTTTTCTTTCAGCATCTCGCCATATTGCCTGCTGGGAAATAAATGTTTTATGATAGGCCATGCCCATAATACGAGCCATTTGCTGAAAAGGCAGGCCCTCTCTCTACCATGGCAGCCATTTTGTTCAGAAGACCCTGACACAAAATTACAACGTGTTGGGCTAGCAAGTCTTTTGTGTTCATCCCTCTCAAGGAGCCACGAACGCCTCCAAGGTGGGTCCCTTGCCTCAACTCCCTTTCAGTACAGTAGCACAGGAGCCACCTTCAAGCTTCTGCCACCTGCACTGATGATATCGTTGACAACTATTTTCTGCAATTTAGCTTCATTTGCAGCAGTATAGCACTTTTCCAGCTCAATTGCCACTTAGTTTCTGGCTAGCAAACCATACATATGCTAATTGTTTTTTCTTAAGTGAGTATATGTTTCATTGAAGTAGTTAAAAAGGCAAAGCATATAATTTGAAAAAAAGGCTGAAATGAAACAGAACAGCTGTAATTGTAAACATAGCATTTTATTTAAAAATAGCAAATATATAAAATAAGGGATCGAACAGCATTAAGGTAATCGCTCTTGAATCTTGAATCTCGACATATAATAAAGGACATTGCCCTAAAGCAAATCTACAATCAAGAACAGAAAACAGAAGCATCATAATTCATTCCCAGTGCAAAGACTACATATTCATAGTAAAGTGCAGTGAACAAGAAAGCAAAGAAGCTATTTGAAAGCTAGAACACTCCACTGTAATGCTGCGCTTTTCATGGAGAAGCCATATCAAACATTAGGCACTGACTGTTCTTGCTTCAAGTTAACAGCAATCCCAAACCCACAATCTTGCAGATTAGGCAAGGCTTAGGTGACAGAAGAAGCGGACATGAAGCCATTGCTGGAAAATTCAACAACTATGTTTTCACATACCTAAAAAGGGTTGTCATACAGAAACAGATCACAACCTGCTCACTTTCATCCAAGGCTATACGATGGGTCCTCAAACTTTTTAAATGGGGCCAGTTGAAAGGAGCTGGCGATGGGCGCGGGCTGGGGCAGGGGGGCGCACGCGCATGGCGAGGCACCAGCTTGCTCGCAGGGAGGTAATTTTTTCCGAGCGAGTCCAAAACGATCTCCGCACGAGCAAGCCGCCGCTGGGCACGCGCACTGAACAGCAGAGGCTTGCTCACAGGGAGATCCTTTTCTCTGAGTGAGTTCAAAGCAATCTCTGCACGAGCAAGCCCCCACTTCGCCACACGTGAGTCCCAAACCTCTATGGCGGGCCAGATAAATGGGCATGGTGGGCCGGATCCAGGCCGTAGTTTGAGAACCCATGCTATAGGACATGAAATAGTGAGCTTAAATTACCAGAAGGCCCATTTGGGTTGAACATCGAGAAACCCTTCCCAATGGTCAGAGCGGTCAGACAATGGAACCACCTGCCTAAAGACCCCGTGGCCTCTCTCACTGGAGGAATTCAGACAGAGATAGGATTAGCCATGTGCCAGGAAATGCTTTTAACTAGTTTCCTGCACTGAGCTCCAAAGGCTTAGATTCAAGAGCCTAAAAAGCTCCTTCCATCTGTGAACCAGCTTCAAGTTTCTCCAGGACCCACATGAGCCCTGCAAAGGGTTGTGAGATATTCTGACATTCCAAGATTCAAAGCAGTTAGATTTCCTTAGATTTTTCTCAATCCTGGATGAACTATTTCTCTGATTACCCTTGGCAGAAATTTGTTTCACAGATCCATAGTTGGTTGGCTAATACCATGCATATTGGTTTTCTCGATTATTCCAGAACAATATATCCAGAGTTAGTACTACAGGGCACAATTAGTGACCCCCCTGCCACTACCACAGCCTGGAACATACAATCATTCAGCATGCGTCTCCACCCCTGCTCACTCACGACATGGAACCAACATTTATATTCATATCGGTTTACCTCCTTTACTGGCTCTGACAACGGACACAGCAGTGTATCCAGCACCTCACAAATACAGAGTGGAGACTGTAACAGTCCCTTGGATTTCCTGCTCTTTCTTCAGGAGCATTCCTATCCAAAGCCTTCCCTGCTGGAGCACCCTCTGATGAGTAACATCATCCTGCCCAGTTCACTGACCCAGAAGCTGCAGGCAGAATATGGGCCCTGCAGCTCTGATGACACCCCATCCTCAGGGTTTTCATATGGAACATTTGAAACATGTCTGTTTCATAAATGGAGGGACTTAACTTGGCTAAATGCTCAATATTACAAAGTTGTGGCTTTGTCCAGCCACATTCAAGTCGTAGCAGAACCACAGTAAAGTGTAAGGAAAGCTACGACAAGGATTCGGGAGACAAACATGCTTCCTCTTCTTCTAATGCTCTGCCCCTTGGATGCCACAGAGACACAATGGACTTCAGCCCCACCAAACCAATTCTGACAAAGATGCGCAACACAAGGAAGGCAAATGGGACAATGATCTGTGTGAGATGGAAAATGGTTGCACTCAGTTCACTCACGATGCAGGTTAGGATGAAGACTGCGAGGCTCACGCAAGGATACAGTGCAAGCTTGGCAAACATAAAGGCATGTTCTTTGCCACCATACCTGGCAAAAGGATGCAATGTTTCCCTTTCGTAGAACAAAGCAGCAGTCCAGATGCCAAACTGGAAGATGCTAGCAAAGAAAATGGTGGCACAGCTCACCTGGATGGCTTCTATTTCATTGTGAGACTCCTCTGCAAAGTCACTGGTAAGCTGGTAAGCAAGAGGCAGGCCTCCAATAAATGCCAAAGAAAGGTTATTAAGGACCCCCATAAGTCGAGTTGTTTTTGTCACATGAATGAAAAGTGAATGGTGGACAAACCAGAGAAGGCCAATAGTTACAAAAGATCCAAAGTAGGCAAGGAAGGTCGGATCATATTCACTCAAGGCATTGATGAGATTACCACGGTATTTTTCATTAACATCTTTAGCAGCAGGAACATTATCTTCACTGTTGGAGAAAGAAATAGTTTGGTTGTACGTACTTGGGCATCAATAGAGATATTTACGCCTTCTATTTAGCACTTTCGCGCGAAGAAATGTTACGGAAAGGAAGATAACCCAAGTTCCCTGGTAGGGTTTGTTCATTTTGTTATCACCTGGAATGCTGTGACTTCAACCCATCTAGAAACAGATTACTGATCTGTCTTTTATGATTGCATAGTGAGTCAGGAGTGAGGCTGCGTGCATGACATAATTCTAGACAATGCAGCGAACACACAGGATGTGGCATTCAGCTTCCTAAGAAGCCCATAGCTATTGAAGCTGTGATGATGAGTTGGAAAAGCATGGGCAATGCCTAGGAAGAAACCACAGAGTTGGCTGAAGTACATTCCCATGGTTAGGGGTATGGCTTCAGCTCTCTGTCTAGCTCCTTGTCTCTCCAGAACAGTTCCAGAATAGTTTATGCAAAATATTGTTCAATTTTAGAATTATGCAAAAAGAATGCCCTAAACATGGAAATAAAGTTGCATAATTTCAACAGGTCCTAGAATTCAACTTTTCTTTACCCGGAACTTGGATTGCCTGTACATGGAATTGTAAGCTTTTTAGTACATAGTAGAAACAGACTTAACAATGAACCACTCTCATGAATTGCCAGTGGACATGATACTATGTGGGAGCATTCAGTCCAGGTATTTCCCAAAGGATTGGGCAAGTATTAATGTAATTGGGCAAAAGATTGGTGGGGTCAAATGGTCAAGATATATTAAAGGGAGTTCCAGATCATAACAAAAAATAATCCAACCCTGTACATCCTTTCTCTTTTAGCATTGTACCCCCATATAAAGAAGGGTTAAGACCAACATTGGATGCAATTTTATTAGAATAAATTCAGATAGCAGAACACTTACCATATATCAAGAATTAACAGTGTTGCGACAATTGCATAAACACCATCACTGAATGCCTCTACTCGTTCCTTACTAAGGGGCTCAGTGAGATAAAAAGTGAAAGACTCCAGAGGGACCTCTTCTTCTTGACCTGGATGCAACAAAAGTCACACTTAATAAAAACATCTGGCTTCTCTGTTGCAAGAAGCCTTCCTTCTTTTCATCTCATGCTCCTGAAAATGCACAAAACCAAACCCTTCCCCAGAAATATTTCAGCATGCCATTCCTGCCCTACCTTCTTCTACAGATGTGTTGCTTATGCAAAGCATTTCAGGAAAACATTGCATAGTGTCCTAGGCAGAAACTTTAGAACTGTGTTGCCAGGGGTCTCTGGAAAGTGTACCATTATCTCCTCAGTGGGAAAATCAGCCACGGCAAAGACAGCTTGCCCACCACTACCGATCATTCCCTCCTTCAGGCAAACAGTGAGGGAGCACTGGCCAAGTTTTGGGCCAACAAATCACGTATTGTGATTTGAACTGAGAGCACATTCTAGGAAATGCCTGAACCATCTGCAATGCACAGCACTTCTTTGGTGGGTCAGTAGAATTGGGAAGGATATCCCCAAGTTAAGCAAATTGGAATCCCACAGGTCTAGCCTTAATAACAGTGAAAGAGATTCTTTTCAGCTTTTCTAATGGATGAAGAGAAGTAATGTTCTTGGATCGCTGAAAGGAAACTTTAATTATCCCATGAACAGGGGAATACAAAATTCTCACATTCTAATATCCAGCATCTAACTAATGCCAAACAAGACTGTTTTAGAAGAGTTTCAGACTTGCATGGAGAACAGGGGCGAGTTCTATGAGCAAGACTTGAATGGTTTGAACGCTGTCTAACAAGAATGTTTGTGCCCAGATCAACTTCTTGAAAAAAACAAAAAGTCAGGTTTCTAGTTATATCAGGCCTGGGCAATGCAGAGGATTCTCATGGCGTGCTAACTGCAAAGGGCCATTTTGCAACCCCCCAATTCTCTGCTCTATCTCATTCTGAGAGGGGTGAGTACACACCGTCCCAGATAAAGGGAGATTTGCAGCCACAGCTTTAGAGGTTCCTAGTTCATGTCCTGGAATTGATCAAATGACCTATGTTTAGTAAAAAGATACATTAGTATCATTTTACACAAAGGGATCCTATATTTTTAAAGACTTTATTTTCTAAAAAGGTACCTACCTAAACCATTTTTGGTTGTGTGTATACTCTGGACTATGGTTGGAAACCTACATAGCCTATTTTACTGACAAAGCATTCCTGTTTCCTTTATCACCTCTTCTACCTACCTGCACCTGAGGGAGAAGATGGATAGAAAAGTCTACCCCAGGGGCCATTTCGGCTCCTCCTCCTAAGTCCAAGTTCAACTGGAAACTGAGGGCAGGGTTTGTCTTGTTTTTTTTAAAAAATATATGCTATGCTTGGAGAAATTTAAAGGTTGTATAAGCAAAAGTACTCACCCAGAAACTTGCTTTGAAACCATTTGGTTAGGTGGTTGAGGTGTGGGAAAAAAATAACAAGTCCAAGGAACATGTATGACTGTAACAAAAATCAAAAGAGCTTGTTTGTTGCGCATGGATATTTTATGCTGTTAAATAACACATTTGCAGTATGTGGGCAAGGATAAACATCATTTTGTCATTTTAGCCTCAGGGGCTGCTTTGCAGGTCACCTTGAGAATAAGCTACTATACAACAATACCATGATTAACCCTGCAAGCTTTTAAAATAACATTTAACATTAAAGAGTTAACATTAAATACGCTTTGTATTCAAGTCTGCATATGCCTATGTGAAAAAATATATCAGTATCCCTGTCAAAATGACCCATCCTTTTAAAAGGAAGTTGCTGCCAAAACCCTGGATCCTTTTAGAAAGAGCTGACAGACACTTCCCCTGTCCCCAAACACCTACAGTCTCAGGTTCAAGTGGAAAAGTGAGAGCAACTTTTGGACAGTTGTGTCTAAATATTTATTTAATTCAATTTCTATGCTACCCTATAACCCAAAGTTTCTCTAAGTAAAAAGAAAAGAAAAGAAAAAAAATGAGGATCATCACTCCAAGTATAAATCCTATGACTCCAGTATCCCATTTTACAATTAGGTCTGGCTTGAAAACTGCCAAACTAAACCAAAAGGGCAGCGGGGCTGTTTGGAGCATCTCTGGGTGAACATGCAGGGTTGGTAGGTGATAGTAGCTGCTGACCCATCCCAGCGCAGCAAAGAAGCCCAATCACAGTGCAGTTCTCTCATCAGTACAGTTCACCCCAGCAACAAAACAGTAACAACAGAAGCTCCCTGTTTCCCCAGAAAAACTTCTTCAGGCATATTTCAGCTGCCCTTGTGGCACACTAGCATACCCTAGACTGGGAGACAGACTGGGAGCCACAATTCTTATTTACAGATGACTTACCAATGGGATGAAGAATAATGAGAAGATGGCAGCCAAAAAGCTCAGTGTTGGTCCCCTTAGTATGATCTTCAGGATGTGATTTTTATAAAATGCCTGGTTTTCAGACTCCTGTATTTGATGATTAAGTAAATATGGATGGTGGAAGCCATACACCACAATGATAGCCTACCAAGTAGAGAAAACATTTCACCAGTTTTGGGTTTGTGTGCTTCTTTCTCACATTCTCTCTGCTCCTTCACACCTGGAGAGGGAGCAAAGGCTTCCTTTGATGGGTCAAGAAACTCTGCTGATAAAACAAATCTTCCCAAGAAGCAAGTCCATCTCTTTTCCAGCTTGGTTCCATTTTGTCCACACACTGAAGCTGCAGGATAGCCTGCAAATCTGAAGTCAATATGGACCTCAAAACGATTCTGCAGCAACCTACTGCCCGCCCGCCTGTCTCCTGTACAGCTGCGGGCGCAAGGGAATCTGCTTCTTCCACTGGGACGTACAGAACTACATTCCCTCATATGGCATCTGTGGGTGAGCCCACAAACATCACCTTTTCCTGTGGCTTTCCCTAATGCCTGTGGCTTCTTTCATACAGGTATCACACAACATTGACCTAATTTTGAAGGACTGAAATGACAGGCAACTATACCTGGACAAAGCCGATTACGACAGCACAGCTACTGAACAGGAAAATGCCGAATGGTACATCTGGAAAAGAGGCCATTAAAGAGAACTGCAAGACAAAATGCTGGATCAGTTATGTACTTCAGAAGACATTAAGGGAAAATAAGTTTTTAAAGAACTTATACATTTGCTTTAGCTCTACTTTGTACACCTCTCAAATTCAACAGAATGAATAAAGAAACAGGTTAACTGCAAGTTATTTTGAGAGTGACTGTGAGAGGCTCCGAAAATCCACACCAATGGTATTAACTTGAAGAAAACAATAAGGGAAATGCTGTCACTCCTTAATGAATAAGTGCCTGCATACAGAGTTCTCAGACAGATTGTGAGGCTAATATTCTGGTTTGCATATTAAGCTGAAAAGCTATTAAAACACTGGTACAATTCCATTTGAAAAGATGTTCATTTTCCCTGTGCTAACTGGCAAGGCAAGATTTCAAGCATGGGTGAAAAGATGCAGATTATTGCGAAGCAGACATGAGCTGTAAGATCAAATAATCTAATCAGCACTAAAAATCTGCTGATACAACCCTTCATTATTATGACTTTTTGAAGGGGCATCATAGTGCTCTTTTACTACGGCAATAAATCAACGGGATCATAGTTGGAAGGGGTCTAAAAGGCCATTGGGTCCAACCCCCTGCTCAGTGCAGGCCTCAAGTTTCCCATCCAGATTCTAACCAGGCCTGACCCTGCTTAGCTTCCAAGATAAGGCAGACTATGCGGAAGCATTCACACACTACACAGTCCACCATGCTGTTGATCTATGGAGCCATGGAGGAGCCTGCATGGAAGATCCCCTCCTAAAGTCCAGTGACCACATGACCCTAAATGCCCCACTTTTGATGATGCTGCACTGGTGAGGAGGAGCAGTTTCAACAGGAAATGACAACCAAGAGTGCCCTCATTTCCTGCTGGGCAGTGCTTGGGACCGCCCTAACCAATCACACCACTTTCTGTCTCGGAAAACTGGACATGCTGGAGGACAAGGCTAAGGGAGGAGAACAGCAGCCCAGGCCAGCACGCGGGTGGAGAGGTCAGCTGGAGATCACGGCCTTGTTTGCAATGAGGAACAATATCAGGCCAACTCAGTTTCTAGGGGGATGATGACCAAAGATCCCTTCAGGCCACGGGTTCTGCATTTGTGGAGCTCAGGAGATAGCAATCATTCTCTAATTCACTGTGACACTTATACTGAACCAGAAAGAAATTCACTGAGCCATAGTTAGATTGTTTAGGCACTTTCAATGATGTAGCTAAACTTGTTTACTTGCTGTTCATCTAAGGCAAACACGTAACATTTAAAGCTGCATGTAAATGAGGAACAAAACTATACCAGTTATGCAAAGGTGCATACACATAATAGGATGAGCTTTTGAATATATGGCATACTGAGAGCAGTCTGGCTTGGCTTTTACTTCTAGTATAGTGTTAGTTAATGTTCAGTTTTTACTTACTTAGAATAAATGAAATGCTGCAAGATCTGGTTAGAAAATAAATCTTTGACTAACACAAAATATAGCAGTGGAAACATGAGAGTTTGTTATAGAATGCATCAGATTTCCACCCATCTCAAGGAACGGACAGCACTATTCAAAGGGTTAGAGCACTGTGTTTTCCAAGTGCCGTCTCTGCAAGACTCAACAAAACATTCATACCAAGGGTGGGAGACGCAGAATGTATACGTACCGTGTATGGCAAAAAGGTAATGAGCATCATACATGCCTGGGAGAGGGAAGAAGAGATGCAACAGATTAAAGCTTTCCTGTGCATGTTAATACAGTTCAAGCCTTATCTCCATAATATGGGAGCCACGGCAGTTTGGCTTCTTCTTGCACTGCAAAGGTAAACCTTGAGACCTGAAGTGGCCAATACAGAAGTTCCTTCCCATAACAATATTGCTCCACTTCCTAAGAGAGATGAGGTTAGTACAGGAAGGGGCCGCAGAACCCACAAACTCTTTCAGGGCTGTAGGAGGCTTGCTAACCACCCAACAATTTCATAGGTCCCACTTCCCTCTCTCTTGTAGCCAGAGTGGAAAGAATTGTGCTGGCTATTTTCTGAGGCCAGAAAACAACCTTGGAGAAGGGTGAAAAGGGAGAGCTTCTGTAAGTAGCAAAAGGAGGAAAATGGAGAGGCCAGGATAGGCACTATCCAGAGGTCTTTTCCTGTTTCCTTCCATTTGCCTTCAAAGCACCCCAACTAAACAGGCAAAAATCTAGTCTGGGAAAACATACAGCATGGGAGATGGGCAGGTGAATCCAGGGGCTTCTGATTATTGACAGCCCAACTGAGAGGACTGTACACTTATTTATTTGACTCACCAAATTTAGAAGGGCAAGTACATCATCTATAAGTTCAATAACTTGGAAAAGCCTGTCAGAAAAAGAGAAAGAAATTAACAATGCCCTGGTAAAACCACTCTGGAACCATTTGACTGACAGATGCACTGTATATGTAGGCCTTAAGCCTATGGGCAATGACATTTTGAAAGGGCCGCAGTGTCTGTACCATCCACGCACTTTGAATATATGCAGAGAAATAATAAAATACATGTAACAAAATCATAAGATGGCATCCAGTTTTTCTGTATATGAGCAAAGGCAAAGGATATGAAAGTGGATAGGGAGACTTTTTCTCCTTCTCTCCTAACCCTAGAATTTAATGTTAGGAAATTAAACAGTGAGAGATTCAGGACGAATGAAAGAAAGTGCAGCTTAACTATGAAGCTACCCTACGGAAGCCACTACCACAAGATGTAGTGACAGTCAAGAGTGTGTAAAACTTCAAAGGATTCGACAAATCCATGGAGGGGAAAGCTATCGATGGCTCCTAGTTGCAATAGCTATATGCCACCACCTGTATGCCCATCTGTACCCATTGCTGGGGAACATGGGGAGGAGGGCGCTCTTACACGTACACCCTCTTTCCGCATCTCGCACAGGCACTGGCTGGCCACTGTGTGAACAGGAAGATGGAACAGATGGGTACTTGGTTTGATCCAACAAAGGCTCCTCTTACGAAACAGACAACTGAAATGCGGGAATGTTCCTTTCTGAGCTGCCACTCCTATTGGTCCCGAGAGCAGGCACCTGTGAGTCCACCTGCTGGGGCCAGGTGAACTTCCTGGTGAGAAGGTCACGAAGCATCAGGCTTCCCTTCCCACAAGCCCTCCCATGTTCTGTGATGTGCAGGTAGAAAAACAGTCAATGCTTCTCCTGCTATTTAAAAAAAATCTTATCCACGTTTCAGTTTTAGTGAGGGAACTGCCTGTCTCTCTTGCTCTGGCACAATGCATGGCAGTTTGTAGCTAGCTTTGAAGAACAGGCACCGCATTCAAGTTCACCAAGAGCCACTTCTCTGGGGCCAGTACGAATTGCCTCCAGGAAAATAAGCACAAGCTTGTTTTTTGGTTTTTCAGACCTTTTAGGCCACAAATGGCAAACAGAGGCATGTGTGGACCAGTAGATTGGTCAAAAGCCTTTGTGTGATGGTGACCCCATGAGACTGACTGGCAGTAGATTCAGGATAAATGCAGTCCTGCTTATGGCAGAAAGCTGTAATTACGTTATGGAATTCTCTATAAAGTTGTGGTGGCTGCTGGCTAAAAGGGCTTTAAAAGGCTTTTAAATGACTTTGAAGGTTTCAAATGGCTATCAACACCCTTAGAAGAGGAGATATAAATAATTTATTAAACAAATAATTAAGCAAATGCGGGAAAATCATTCTCTCACCAGCTAATAGCCATGGAAATGGAATGCCATTTCTGCACTCAGACAGCAGGATGCCTCTAGGTGCCAGCTGCTGGAAAGCTGTACAGGGAGTAAATTCCTTGTCCTGGCTGGGTGGCAACTGTAGGAAACGGGACACTCATCTACATGGACATTTGGTCTGATTCAAGAGAGCTCTTCTTATGTTCTTTGCAGACTTATTTTCAGGGCTGGTATAATTGCTTGTAAGAACAGTTAACATAAATGTTACGGCTGGTCTCAGCACAACTCGCAAACCAGGCCAAAGGGTGTCTTCCTTCTCATGAAGGTACGTTTTTCTAGAGCACGGGGCGTGTACTTTTCCACCATGTTTCTAACTGCATACCTGACATGAGCTGCCCAAGCCACTGTCACTATTAAAAAAGACATCAGATAAACAACGACTTTGGTGGCAAGGAGATGCTGAACGCTTTCGCCCAGTTTCTGAAATAAAGCACAACACTTGTCAAAGAAATGCTGGACAATCGTAACAGAAGATACAGGAAAAAATACATTATGCAGTGTATTAGTACTGAGTGACCCTATGGCCCTCAGAGAGTGTATGGGGGACCACAAGAGTCTTTGCATATCCAGATCCAAAGCCGAAAAGAAAGCCCAGGTCTGCCTCTGCTCCAAGCAGCCAGTCTGAAAGGAATCATACTGGTTGCTTCTGTGTGACGATAAAACAGGAGAAGGAGTTAAGGGAGCACTTGAGAGCCAAGGAGGGGAGCCACCTCCTCTCCCCTTCTGAAGCTCTCTGGCTAGATGGCTAAAACTGGCTGTCTGGCTGACCTGGAGGCTGGGAGAGTCAGGGAGGCGAAGAGGACCTCCACTGCTTTCCCTGCCAGTAGCCAGGCTTATGGGCACCCTGATTTGATTACGCCATGATTTTCGTACAAGCAAGCACAACAAGCAACTCATTGCAAAGTCATTTCCTTACAGTGGTAACTTCCATGCTATAAATAAAGAAATCCAAATCAAGTGGATTCTTCTTTCACTTTCTCAAGGCACACAAATTAGGGTAGGACACAGACCACAAAGCCCTCTGAATAAAGATACTTCAAGCAAACAGACACTTGGTAATGTCCTAAGGGTACGACCCCTATGCATGTTAAGACAGAAGAAAACTCCCACCGTTACTCAGCCAGCAGTGGGGAACCGTGGGGGTTGTGGAGCTCCTTCCTCCTCATGTGCTTCACCCTTTGCAATCCTGACTTGCATTTCAATATGATCTTAAGCATTCACTGCTGTTCCCTAATTCCTGTGGTTATATGCATTCAGTGCAGATCAGAATGTGGTCTTAAGCATTCCCCAATTCCTTCTTCCTCAGCCCAGTATTCTTTTATCACATAAAGCAGCTGTGGGTGGTTTCTACTTGTCCGGTTCTTTGTCTGCCCAAACTCTGCCCCTCCCCTTTCCTGCTTCTTATGATAAAAGGGTAATACGTTATTCTGTCCATGGAGTGTAGGACCTCCAGCAAACAGTTCTGCACTATATATTCAATTTCCCAAACACATAAGCCATCTTTAAGCTCTCAGTAGCAACCTTAACACAAGGATTGTGTAAAAAGTGTTTCTCAGCATTAAAGGACTCGTCTGGGAGCTTATATAATAGCTTGCAAGTATTACATTGGTACCTCTTGTTCTAGGTGGAGCAAGTGCATTGGACACACTGGATTAAGCCTATTAATTGCCAGCTTCTTCAGATGGTCAGGGAGGATACACCATGGAGGCACTGAACACCATGGCAAGGGAGGGCTACCCTTCGGGCTGAGGAACCCAGATCTCCTCCTCCTCCTCTCAGGACAAGATGGAAATGCATTCCTGAGATCTTTGCTTCGTAGTTGGTCTCTGAGCAAGGGTGGGCAGAAGGTCGGATGCCAGATGTTTGGCACTTCAGTTCCCAGCATTCTTTGCCACTGGCCGTAGCCACGCTGCCAGGCCTGGGAATTGAAGTCTAAAAGACGTGTAGATCTATCTCCGGCTCATCTCTGCTCCGCAATGCCTGTGAGGTCAGAAGCAGTACAGTGCCTTGCGCTGCCTCTAGTCCAGAACTGCACTCTCTGAACCATTTAGGAAAGCAGCACAGTTATGAAATATGGGAGGATGCTGTGGAGGTCGGTCAGATCAAAAGAGGCCATCTTCTCACCTGAATGAAGAGGTCCTGCTTGTGTGCCGATCAAAGCATTAGAGGCTGCAGCCTGCACTTGTGGGACTTTGCTAGTTCATGTCCAAGAGACCTCATCAGCGCAGTCCTTCAAGTGGGCCCTAACGATTGTTTGGTTTACCTTGGCCTATAACTATGTTAGGACTTTGTCGAGTGCCACTGCTTAAACAACTTTACAATTTTATCATTTTACCATTATTTGATTGTGTTCTGTGGCTCTAAATTTTGTATAACACTGAGGAGAGTTTTCCCTAAAAGGTGGTTTTTAGATATTTACAATAAATAAATAGGGGAGGAGATGAGAAGAGGAAGGCTGAGAGCTGGATTTGGCTCGTGATGCACCTGTTGGCTGTCTTTGGCTTAATTAATTGAATCCAAATTAAAAGTTTAATTTATTTTACTACTCAGTACTAACTGCCCCACTGTACTAGAACAACCATAATAGAAATTCAAAGAGCAACCTAAGCTGTTAACTGAATTACAATCAAGCTTTGTACTTAATATGAAAGACACAGTACCTGGTCTGGATGTATCTTTGTATGGGCCACGGGCAAAATCTACAACAGAAGAGCAGTGCCATTAAAGCAGGATACAAGTTTTAACCTACATGAGATGATTACAATAGAATAGCTGGGCATCTAGGCTAGCTAAGGTACCGGGAAAAGTGCAGATACAGTGTAGTGCTTCGTGCTGTGACAAACATACTTGCTCAAAAGCAACTGGATTGGCAAGAGTGCTCTAAAAATTGACCTAGTGGTTAAATTCTGCTAGGTTACAATTACAAGCAGCTACATTTGCACTAAGCTAGACATGATGTGTGAGATCTATGAGCAACTCTCATAAACTCTGATCTCTTTAACCTAAAAACAACCACAGAATTGGGGAGGGGCTGGATACAGACTGCAGCTTTATGGATACATATAATTGCCTTGATGTCAATCCCCACCCAAATATGTTATTAGCCATGAAAGGGGTGAAGGAAGAGGTCTAAATCTACACTGTACCTGTTTTGTTCCCCTCCCACCCATAGCGAAGAGTGGCTTGAAGGGGGAGATGATTTCTAACAAGGAAGCAATAGAGCAGGAAGGGGCTAAATCTCACTTTTCCCAAAATCACATCCTACCCTGACCATAAAAAAGGACCCTGTTGTCTACAGTGACTAAAAATTACTTAAGTTTGGCAGCCAGCCAGCCAGACTGGAGTTGCAGGTCCTTCTCTAGTTCCAAAAGACAACATGTTTTGCCAGGATCTGGAGTTCAATTGAACTCCCTCTTTTATCCCTCTGGGGCCAGACTATCTCTTCCGGGCTACACCTCCTCCTGAAGAGTAGAGAGCCTTAATGGGGGAGCCTTCCAGGCTGCAGCCTGCTACTTTTGTCACCTGCCTGTTAATCCCCACCTTGTGCATGGCCTGCAATGGGGAGTATGGCCTGGGAAGTCTGAGATCCTGCTATAAAGGGGAATCTGGTTTAGTTGGTGGTATCTTTGGGTGTTCCAGTTCTGGGCTTCCCGGTTGATAGGCCGGACTCTGAGGTGGGTTCTGGGCCTGGCTGGGTTGAGCATCTCCACAGCTTGTGTCTCTGTACTTCCTGGTGCAACTGGTTCCTCCCCTGTTGTGGCAACGTTCGGGCTGTACTCAGGGTTCGGAGTACCACAAGCCAGGCCAAATCTCAGAACCAGCAAAAAAAGCACTAGGAAAGCTGTTGCTGAATTGCCTATGTCTGATTAGGTGCAGCACTTCATATAGAATTGATATTCAACTTACATTATGACGTCCACCCCCGCTCCCCCAGCATTTCAATTTCTCTCACTGGAGACTTGTCAACAATTTACTTGCACAATTGATTTTTAATGTGGCAATAATGTTTTCCAGTTCAGCTGGCGCTCGCTTAATCCATCTTCTCTCATACAAACCATTCTCACTTGCTTCAGTGTTGGTTCCAGTCACAGTTAATACAGGAACCATATAGCATGGGGTAATTCTAACCCATTACCGACTGAAATGAGTATTAGTTTATTAGGAATATTATAAGAAGAAGAAAAAAACCAGAGCACTAAAGAAGATGAAAGGGATGCTGGGGGAAGTGAAAAATATCTGAAAGGTACTTAAGAATAAACAAACAAAAGTTATTTCAAATATCCCTTAGCCATCCAGCCCTTGTTCACAATTAGACTGCTTAAATCATGGTACAGGTCCAAGGTTTTCCACATTTTAAACATATTCTTTAATGTTATTTTAAAATTATGAATATAGAATCAGCTATACAGGCCAGGTCTATCCATGTTTACTTGGAAATAACCCCCACTTTGTTCAATGGGATTTATTCCCAACTAAGTGTATAAAGGATTGCAGGTGTACTGAATGTAGGACGCTGCCTTATATTGAATCAAGAAGTTTGGTCCATCTATCCTAGTAATACTGACACTGACTGGCAGCAGTTCTCCATAGTTTCAGGCAAGGATTTTTCCAGCCCTGCCTAGAGATGTCGTGCATTGAAACCTGGGACTTCTGCATGCAACGCAAAGGGTCTACCACTGAGCTTTGGTCCTTCTTCCTCTGGGTCTCAGGTTCAATCTCTGGCATCTCTAAATAGGGCTGCAAAAACTAACTGGAATCCTGGAGAATTGCTGCCAGTCAGTGTTGGCAACACTGGCCTAGATAGACCAAGGAAGCGACTTAGTACAAGTCATTTTCCTATGCTCCTATGAACAGAGCATGGCAGTGGTCAGAAGGCGTGGGTTCAAATGTATCCTCAGCCATAACACTCAAGAAATGACCTCAGACCAGCAGGCATCTCTCATTCTAAGATCTCCAAAAGGGTTGTTGTGAAGATAAGATAGGATTAGCTTCCCACTGCATGTGTGCTATTTTGAGCAGTCTGGAGGAAGAGTGGGATGCAAATATGATGGAATCAACATGCATACTACTGCATAGAATAAGCATGGGAAGGGGAAGGGAAACTTTAGCACGTCACCACTAGGGAGAGGCAAAAGTAACAAGGAAATATGTCCAGTAATTAAATGGAGTCCCTATTCTGATTCAACAAATCAGGAGTGAGTTTTTCCTAGATAGTGTGATGTGTAGGGACATAGTAGTAAGTTTTGAACTACATGTGCTTGAAGACAGTCATCATGACAGGACCCATAGCCATGCCCCAGAAGCAGAGTCCAAAAATGCAAAACACCTGTGTTGATCCATACCTATTTATATAGCTTTTTTTTTTAAGCTAAGGGGTCTTAATTTGATCATCCAAGGCTAAGCCACCCCAAAATGTTACAGCAGGAGGAATAGCTTGTAACAGGTCAGTACTGCCTGGAAAATCCCTTTCTTCCCAGAAAGTGAGCTAAATTCACAGGGAAGGAGGGGTTGGCTTATAATGTAATTGTCCCTGCTAATCCAGAACTCCTGCCTTCCAGGGTTCCCTGAGATTCTATTATAGCCATCTGTTTGGTGTCGGGACAACATGGGTGTAGTGGTTAGCACAGAGAGGTCTTGAGTTTCATTCAGTGGCAAAACTCACTGGGGTCCTGGTTACTTTCTCACAGCCTAAAGATACCTCACAAGGTTGTTTTGAGGATAAAAGAGGTGAAGAATTTACATGGAGTTTGGAGCTCCTGGGAAAAGAGGTGTGGAAAATACATAACAAAATTGGTTGTGAGGTTGCATAGAAGCCAAAGTCTGCCATTCTGCCATTTGGTAGACAGACTCAAGAGCTAGCAGCTCCCGTTCTCTTCCTGTTTACTTGCGAAGGAAGAAGCAATGGCCAAATCCTTCTAGCCCAACTGTGGTGCCGCTCTTTTACATCCAAAGAGCGTAAGAGGTGTTGTTTCTTTCTTTCTTCTTCATCAGCTGCAGCCAGGTGCCTAGTCATCCCTGTTGTCACAAGGACTGTCCCATGCTACACCGCTTCAGAACAACATGGTTCTGTACCTTCCGCCGCGAAGCACGACAGGCAGGAATTCAACCAGTGTAGCTCCCCCGGCTCCCACAGGCCAGAAACAGGCTTTCCTGTAAAGCCGCAAAGGGTGAACGCCGTCACGAGGAAATCCCTCCCCGTTGAACTTCTGCCTGCCAGCGCGCACGTGCCAACGACGCGGAGGTCTCCGCCCACGGAAGGGGGCACCGCAAGAGCAGGGCCCTCCCGGCGTCTCCCCGCAGCCTGCGACTCACCATGACGGTGGCGATGATGGAGAACAGCGCGTCGCTATAGGCCAGCAGCCTGTGCGAGGCTTGGGTGCCGCCGCCCAGGTCCCCGCGGGCTCGGCTGCGCTGCTCAGGCTGCTGCGGTAGCGGCAGCGGTAGCGGCGCGGCGGCTTCAGCCATCCTCCTCCGGCTTCTTGCGCGGACATGTGCGCAGGAAAGACCGCGCCGCCGCCGCCCGCTGCCCTCGAAGGAGGCGGTGCGGGCACAGCCGCGCTCCGCCTTGGCCCGGTCGCTCCGCCCTGCCCGGGGCCTTCTCCTCGCAAGCTAGCGTTGCTGAGTTTCCAGGGGAAAGAAGCGGCCCGCAGCGTTTGCTTAACTCCTTGTTTGCTGTTATTCGGCCTGGGGGATCATTAAAGTCGATGCCAAGAGGCCACCTCGAAGCGACCTACACGCAGTACCGCAACGAAAAAGAACCCCCAAATCGGTGTACCCCATCGCCAGCGCAATCATAGCAATTCGAATAAATACCACGAAATCATAATTGAAACGCAGTGCAGGGCAAAAAACCACGAGCGCTCCAGTCCCACCTACTGCCTGAGTCTAATTCAAGCAAGAAAGCTCAGTGTATTTAAATACCAGCTAAAAAGTCACCTTTTGTTCTGGCCTTGAAAACCCATCATACTTTGTTAATGCTTTCTGTTTGCTCCTCTTCTCTTGGGTTACCTGTCCTTGCTCTCCGTGTCTCATGTAAACTGCTTTGGGGGACACAAATTCTCTGAAAAGGAAGTAGTAGTAATTTAAGTGATCAGTGATAGTAAGTCTAGGAGGAACATTTTCTACTAGAAAGTGACGCGCATGGAGGAAAATTTGGTGAAGGAAACATACAAATTGTACAAACATGCCAATCTCCCCTATGTTTGTTCATCACCTTTTCACCTTGATAAATACAGATCCAAAGAGACTAGGACTCCATGAAGGCTTTCTCTGAATCAGTGTCTTAATTTTGGGTGCCATCTTAGCCATAGACAACCCAGGAAGGGAACCCCTGGTTTGGTGCCGGGTTGTGCACTCCAGGCGGTTTCTGGTTAACAAACCATAGTTTTGGTACCATAGTGCAGGGTTCACACATAATGACTACTCATGATTCAACAACAGCCTACAATCCAATGACAAGGCATATGCAACCTGTAGTCTTGGTTCTCGGTACATCGAGAGGAACGCAGACTCAAGTGAAATCACTGGTTTGTTCTCATGCATCAGGCTGGTGTTACACTCAAGAAAGACCCACATCACTCAAAATATATTTGAAGTTATGGATATTTCTTCCACCCACTGGGTTTAGTTAGTGCTGTGGTTTGGCACACAGCAAGACACTTCAAAGTGTTTAGCAATCTACTGAAGAGTGGTGCTGTAATTTAATTTGGAAGTCGTGGCAATGAACATTACAGGAATGGCAAGGGATAGCCAAGGAAGCATAAGAAAGTAGAGTGGGGACAGAGTGGGTGACTGGAAAACACAATTGATTAGACTGGAGCTTGAGGTCCAAGGATCGCAGAGAATATTACAGTGTTAAAAGCGTGTTATGCCTATTAAGGGCCATTTTAATCTTCTGGACTTTGTTACAAACTGTTAACACAGCAGCTTTTATATGCATTAGTAACTAATTGCTCCCCAAAGCTCTCTTCCTTTCCGTGCATTGCAAATGAAAACCAGCTCCTACAACTGAGTCTCTTTCTGGAGATCGATTTTTGTGGGTAACATGTCTTGCAACTGTACAAGAAAAGAGAAGAGATTTCTGTTCACATCAGAGTCTGTTACTGAAGGCCATTCAGGTGAGTAAATGCAGCTTCCTCTCCAGCAACTAGATGTGTGCAGAATATGATTTCATATCCTTTCAAGAGCAGAGCAGAAGCCACTTCTATCATTAAAAAGGCTTTCTATTTTTGCTTCATTCCCTCTAATGGTTCAGGTGACTTTATACTGCAAGTTAATGCTTGTTATTTTTCCTCCTTGGTAGATAGTCTTGTTTTGACCTTTTGAAAGTGTTCTTTTGGAAAGGCAGATAATACTCCTGTAGTCAATGCAGAATGCCTGAACTTCCCAAACTTTGAGTGCAGTGGTTTCTTTACATAACTGTCTCCTAATAACCCTGTGCAGATGTTTGATATATTCATGTGGGTGTTGAATGCTCAACTCTTATTATGCAAATTATAAACAATCAAACATTGATTTTGGGCTACAGGCAACATTTTTATGTAACTAAAAGAGACAGGCATTATGGGCAGGCTTTGCATAACACAGTGTCTGGTTATCTTCAGTTAGCTTCTTAGTCAGGATGCCATGAAATAAAGTTGTTATGAAACTGACTGTGTCTCTCGTGGCCTGCCCTTGTCAAGCTGAGTGGCCTCTCTACAGAAGGCATTTATGCGTGATCATGATTCTTGGTGCATGATTCTTTGTGGGAGTTCTCCATTCTCCAGGATCTCTCCTACTTATCACAGCCATTTTCTTGCTGTTTTTTAAAACAGGATAACCAGCTATCTGTCAGTGCGCGTACACACACACACACGTGTCTGTGTAATTCTATGCCACCGCACATTTTATTTGTCCAACAGAACCTATAGGAAAGCAGAGAACAAAGACCAGAACAAAGATCATGCAAATTTATGTATTTAAAATGATGCTTGCTCACTCCTGCAAAGAAAATGGAAGCAGCGGCCTTGGTGAAGTGCTGGGTTAAATGCTTCCTGTAGTGAAGTCCTAAGTCCTGCTCAAAGTAGGCCTGCTCACATGGTCAGCTTGCTGGTTGCAAGCCTCCTTGAGCTTTGAATGGCTTTGCGTAAGCCCTGTTTTTTCACTGGAAGCCTAACTTGCGAGTCTTCCGTTTCTACCACCACCAATAATTGCTTGCATTCTTGTGGGTTTAGAAGGCTTAACTTGACTATTCTCGGAAAGCGTAGGTCAGGGGTCCTCAAACTTTTTCGACAGGGGGCCAGTTGAAAGGCGGTGGTGGCAGGCATGCCTGCCGCAAGGTAGCGGCTTGCTCGCTCAGAGATCGTTTTCTCTGAGCGAATCCGAAACCTCTGAGGCGAGCTGGATAAATGGGCATGGCAGGCCATATCCAGCCCACGGGCCGTAGTTTGAGGACCTATGGACTAGGCAATAGCTAGATTTCTTTCTCTCTGTCCTTTTTATCTTCCCTGGTCTCCAGCTCCCTTACCTTTGCTAGCGCTTTTCATTTCCCTCTCCTTGTTTCAATAAGAATCAATTCCCATGGCTTCTTGGTGCGACTTTGCAAATGTGCAGGGCTCAATCCCTTTGTGTGTGTATAGAACCATGATTATGCCTGTTGACCTGCTCCCCCCGCCGCATGCATATTAGCAAAAATATTCTACACAGGATGTCTTGCTCAAAATAGTGGCTAAGAGTGCATGTTTAGAAAGGGAAAAAAGCCCTACAGTTCCACTAGGTAACTTATGCCCCCAACCAGCATCACCTTCAATGTATGGATAATAAATCTTACTTACCAAGCTATTTATTTCTTAATTAGATTTATATCTTGCCTTTTTTCTTATAAAGAACTCAGATGAGGGAATGCATGTGCAGTGCTTTGAGCATGCAAAAACGTGGTGCAAATACTAAGCATTAGGATTAAATAGAACTGGTTTCATTGAAGTGAGTTCACCTAAGCTCATCTCAGGTGCTGTTGACTTGCTGGGGCACGCTGGAACATGTCTAGGCCAGATGATAGGTTTAGGGTACAACCGTGTGCATGTTCAGACAGGAAAAAATCTGTCTAAACATGCTGGAAGCTGTAGGACTTTTCTCTGTTTAAACATGCAGCCTTAATTATAAAGAAACATCTGGTTCACAGTAAAGCTTTCAGTGGCTTACAGGTGGTTGATCAAGTTGGAACACCTGATCAGCATCCACATTTTCTTTTGCAACTTTTGTTAGCTTATTCGGGCTTCTATTTTTATTAAATTATTAAAACATTTTTATGCCGCCCCATTCGCCGAAGCCTCGGGGCGGCTTCCTTCTCTGTTGAAGGAAGAAAGAAGGCTATAATGGATAGCTCACTTAATAAAGTAACCCATTTAATCAGAAAAAAGAAAACATAAAGAAAAACAAAATATGGAAGACAATATGGCTGTACAGTGGTACCATGGCTCACAAACTTAATCCATTGCAGGACTCTAGTCGTGACCCAAATTGGTCGTGGGCCAAGTCAAATTTCTCCATAAGGTTCAATATAAATAAGGTTAATCTGTTCTGTAACTATTTTTTTAATCAAAAAAAATTGAAGCAAAGTGACGAAGAACAACAAAGATCGTGGCCATCTCCCCCCCCCCCCGCAAGCGCCAGTGCAGCTGTCTCCCCCTCCCCCACCAGCATGAGCTCAGTCGCAGCCATAGACGGGTGCGCTTGCGGGTGCGCTGGGGGAATGGATGCCATCGTGCTGCAGGGGGAGATGGCTGAGATTGCGGTTGCACTCATTCAGGGAAGACAGGTGCAATCGCGGTTGTGCTCGGGGGCGGGGGGAGATGGCCAAGGTCGCGGTCGCTACCCAATGCAGAGTTCGCGACCTGAGTCAAACTGTTTATGAAATTTTTGTTTGCGACCCGATTTGGTCATGAACTGAGGCGTTTGTGAGCAGAGGTACCACTGTATTTTGTGTTTTTCGGTTGATTCTGTCAGGTGCCAGAACAAGAAAACAAAGTTTCATTTCTTACTGGGCTTCCCTGAAAGCCACACTTAAAAAATTAATGGTACTCTGAATTGGCTTCCAGGCTGAATAACCAGGGCTGCAGAGAACCAGCTTGGAGGAGAGCCACAAGGGGGTTTGTTTCGGTGTATTTACAGGTGCTTCCACACAGCTGAGAACTGCCTACATTATGGAAGACATGCCTGTTTATGGGTGTTTTCCCCTCCTTCTCCATCTAGATAAGATGTGTGACCAGATCAGCAATGCTGTCCTTGATGCATATATTAAGGTTGATCCAGATGCCAGAGTGGCTTGTGGTAAGTCTTACCTATGGTTTGACAAAGCATGTGGAGGAGAGCAAATTACAGAGGGCTCATGCTTTTGTTTTTCTTTAGGGTAAGTGTAGGGAACCTCAAGCCTTGGGCATCCCAATCAGACCCTTTGGAGTTCCCCAAAAAGCTGTCCACTTTCCCCAGCCCTATCTCTTTTTACCAATTGTTTGTTGAC